CTTGACCAATGTAACACTACCCATAGAAACCTTCCAATTCAGAGAAACAGATAAGGACGGAAGACATGTAAGTTAATGGATTAAACTTAAAACAGTCACTTTTGACAGATACTTTTTGGGGGAGTGGGGAGGGGGGTAGTTTTGGTAATCTTAGAAACTAAAATAGTGCTCACATGTATGCCTTTAATAGGCCTTAGTTTTCAAGGGCCAGAGTTTTTCTGACACCCGACTGCCAAGTGTACTAAAATAAATATTTATTCATCAAATAAACTTCTCAGTTGAAAAATTGTGTTCTTACGATAACTAAGTGATTTCTTGCTGGCTGACTGGTCAAGAGTTATGTTCAATAAGAATACAAACCATGGAAATGATATGATATTAGCGGCGCAATTAGTTTTTCCCTTTCTCTAACACAGGATTTTCCAAGAAATTTCAACAGAAATGGGCATCAAAACTGTCAATGGTATTGTAAAAAAAATCAACAGCAATTTTCCAATGTCTGTACTCTTATTGTCCATAGTACTTGCCTGTGGCTCGTGGTTTCACGAGTTTGGAACATTTCGACGTCATTTCTTATGGTCGATAAGAGTATAGACCATGGAAAACTGTTGTTGATTTGTGAAGTACAAATGCACTACTGGGCAAAACCAAAATCTGAACTGTACATTTTAGCTTATGTATTTTAAAAATTCACATTCCATAATAATATTATGGAAAATTAAAAATTTATTCCTACCCATTCCACTGAGATCCAAAAAGCTAATGCTCTCAAGATCAAATTCACCAGTTCTGCCTTTCAGCATATAGGGTGTCAAGCGTGAAGATGACTCTAGAAAGCAAGAAAAAAGAGAGTTCCTGTTAATTTGAAAACAAAATTCTTTCCATGGGCAATGCATAATTACTACAGTATATTAGACAAAAGTGCTGAATGCGTCCACTTTTGTAAAATTGAGGGAGGGATCTGGGGGTGTTCCAAAAACTGGAACTTGGAAAACTCAGACCTCAGACCCCTGAAAAACATAGACTGTCAGCTAGGTGTTTTGGAAACTCAGACTTCTGCAAAACTTAGGGTGCTTTCCAAAGTCAGAACTGACTGGCCGGACCATAGCCAGACCAATCATTTTGACAATGAGAAATGCTTTTTTCTAAAAGATTTTGTTGAAACACCATCTCCTTCACGCATGCTATTTAGGATTTGACTAATCTTGCTGGATAGTTTTGATTAAAAGTGGAATTCTCATTGACTGGAATGGTCTGGTCAGTCAGTTCTGACAAATGGAAAGTGCCCTTTATAGAACGCCCTTCAAGGGTCTTGAAAACTAAGTTCACCTTTTGACCAACTCAATGGAGCCACAGTCCATGGTTTATTTCTTTTAAGTATTTCAAGAATGGACCAGCGATAGCCAGCGCAAGTCTCCTGCCAGCTTCTCTTTCAATGAGGCAAATGCTCCCTTATTCAAAGGACAAATTTTTTCAACATGCTTTTGTTGCTTCAAATTTCGAAGACTTTCTTCACACAAGATACAAGTTGCTTCTTTTGACTTCGAAGACAGACTGAGGTCCTGGAAAATGAAGTTACTTTGAGGTCAGGTCATCTCCATTACTCTTAGTGTTCAGACCATCCACTCATCCCAGGGTAGCTGACAGAGTGAAACCAAACCAAAAATCAATCGAATTCAATTGAACCCAATTGGTTGAATTGTTGTTCGATTACTTTGGTAATCAAACATAATCGAACTGAAACTTTTACAGAACATTCGACTGGCTACCCTGGGACTCAAATGGGAACCGTTTATTTCAACAGGCTGTCAAGTGCCTATCAAATTTACAATGTACATCTCAACCCACTTATGAAATGACTACTGGGTTCAAACCATTCACGGTTTTATCAAATTTACACCACAAACTATTTTTTAGCACTGAACATTATGCAAAGCAAATTTAATCTTCTGCAGACGGAAGAAGTTGAGTCGCAAGGCAAGCGTCCTTCGCATTTGGTGCTCACCTAGTAGACTTGTGGCAAGTCTAACCAAGAGTTTGTCATAGTATCGATATTTTGGGGGGTCTGAGTTTTGGAGACACCCTAGGGCCTGAGAATTACAGGGCTCTGAGATTTCGAGACACTAAGCAGTCTGATCATTTCAGGGGTCTGAGGGCGAAGTCTTCGTAACACCCCCTGGTCTCTTGTTTTGGCTTGAATACAGAATACCCTGCCACTTTAACGCAACCCCTAAAAATAGGTGGATATGCAGATACGGGGATACTCAGTCACTACGCATCTGCGTATCCACTTAGTAAATATCTTTAAATTAATAGTCACTGCGTATCTGTGTATTTACTTCAATATACACTTTTAAGACAGCATAAAAAGCACACAGCGCGTGTCTAACTGTCGTTCTTAAAGCCACTGAAGGTAGAAAAGCGTATAAAAGGGATAACTGCATATCCACGTATCCAGCTCTTTCAGGGATAAAGCTTCGAAGTGGCAGAGTATTCTGCAGTTAATCCCCTGTTTATAAGCTTATGTATAGTGACAGATAGTAAGCTATGGAGATGTCAATGTTTGTTTACATTTTGAATGATAAAGCAGCGAAGTGATTCTACTCATAATTATTTGTGAGAAAAAGTATGAAGTTTCTGCGCGCATAATAAATTTATGAGGTTATACAGAAGTCTTACCTAAAGCAGCACTAAATGCAGAAGCAATGCATCGTATCTAAAATATAACTTTTAAGCTCAAGCTTAATTGAGCTGAGATTAGTAGTACAAACAAATTACCTGAAGCTCTTGCCATAATGTTGCAGTCTGTTAAACAGATCTCTACATCTTTTAGATTTTCTCTCCGTCCCTATAAGGCTTCACTTTAGTTAAAAAAAAAAAACTATTGTAGCACCAACTAATTCTCGCCGTTGGGCGCTAAACAGCACCGCCAAATTTACGCCGCCATGTTGCCATGCAAACTCTTTCCCAGAGCCGCTCGTTCAACTGCTAAGCGTACCACAGGACACCCATTAGCCTGATTTGCGGGAAACTTGAAGTAGGGGCTCGAGAAGCGCATGTGAATACTGCTGAAGTGGGACCTCAGTGGTTAGTATTAGATCCCATCGGCCTAAGCCCCCTTGGAAACCGCTTATGAAGTTTACGCAATCTGGTATTCCTTATCGCTTCGGTTTTGAGCACTGACTATAGTGATCAGTAGCCCTAAGTAACAGGCTAATCAGGGTTAAGCCCTGAAAATAGTGATTAGGGTTTATAAAGCATTGAGTCCAAACGGTTAACTTCTATCTAGGCTTGGGGTTGTTGCTATATAGTTTCTAATGAAACCAAAGCCTCGCGATAAACCTGCACCAATCGGCACTAAACTCTGTACCAAAGTGCACCAAGTAGGAGCCAACCCGCACCAACTTGCAACTTCCAATACATTATGGCTAACTGTCTCATCGCCTTCTCCACACATTCTACACTTTGGAGACATATTTCCTTGTCAATTATCCTCTTGATACTATTAATTCTTAACGCACGGTCTTTTGCTGCCATAATCATACCCCCCATCTCCTGCTTTGATCTGCCTTTTATCAGCCACTCCCATGTCTTTCTATCTCTTACTTCTGCCGTGTCCTTCCAAAACTACCCATGAAGTTGTTTCTCTTTGAAGCGTTTTTTTCTATCCTGATGTAACGATGCGGCTTCACAACTTTTAACAGAACGCATACATCTCAGTATTTTTTCTTGTACACAGCCTTCAACAGGGGACCGTTACATCTCTCAACACACCGACTAAGACTATTAATCTCATAATTACAGAGTCCTCAATACTCATTAATCCTTTACCATCTGATCTTTTAAAGAAAAGCCCGTCAAAATCAGCTTGCCGATGCAAAGCATGATATAGAGTCACCCATTTATGCTTTTTCCTATCCATAATCAGTAGCTCTTCCTTCGTCCACTCCACTATTCCTGCTGCATATGGCACTACTGCCACTGTCCTACAATTGACTGCTTGGACCATATTCCCACCACTCAGTTTAGACTATTTTTCGTACACGACGGAAGTACTCATTCTCTTGTCAATTCTGATTATTTTTTTCATCTCGGTGTGTTTGATTTCATCATCATCATTATCATCGTCATCATTATTATTATAATTATTATTAGTGCGGCCCTGTAGGTTATGTTTGTATTTGTACAGCTCTTAACGGCTATTTACGACTCTGTAGGGTTATGTAAGGGTGTTTGCAGATGGAATCGGCTATGTTTACACTACTAACTAACTGTTAAGCTAAATACATTGACACTAAAATAAAGTCATGTTTACGTACGTTTATGTACGGTTCCCTGCCGCTACTATGCGGCTATATACGGCTCGGTACCGCTTTTTACGTCTACACATGTCACAGAGTAACTTTAGTTAATAGAAGCAGTTCGATATCTAAGCCTTTATAAAAAAACTGAAGAAAGGATGTGTCAAATTTGTAAAGTAGAAATGGAGGACAAATATCGCTTTTTAAGTGTATGCTCCGCTTACCAGGAGAAAAGAAACGTTCTACTCAATAACTTGAGAAATGACCATCTATTAAATAAGAGTGAATAGAATGTCATCAAATAAAATATTCACGTTTTTAGTGAATCACCACAGCGGAAAGGCTGAAATCCAAAAATTAATGGCAAGACATTTGTTTAAATGCTTTAAGATAAAAAAGAGAAGGAACGAAAAAAGGAAATAATATATATTTTGAATTGTTTGGGAAACGGCGATGTACCAGTTGGTATAAGACTCCAAAAAAATTTTGTCTCTTCTTGTCTTCTACTGCAATGTATGTCTGTACGCGGTTCGGTATGGCTCTGTAGGGTTATGTACGCCCATGTATGCTCTGAACTGCTATATACGTCTGTGTACGGCTGTGAAAAGCTACGTACTGCTCTGACGCCAGTTGTTCCAAAGGTGAATAGCGCTATCCACGGGATAAATCGCTATCCAATGGATAACGCAATTGGTTTCCACGATATTATCCGCTGGATAGTGAGTTATCAGGCCCAAGTTGTTCAAAGGGGGCCGGATAGCGCTATTCGATGGATAAAGCAGTATCCAATGGATAAGGCAATTGGTTCCCCTACTACTTATCTGCTGGATAGTGCTTTATCCCGTGGGTAGCACTATCCAGCTTTTGAACAACTGGGGCCAAGTGGATAGCACTATCGGACAAAACCGGGCCGGTGACTTCACATTATCGTTCTATAGCTGGGACGGGGTCTAACACAGCCAGTATGTTTTTAATATTTTGTTTAGCCTGCGTAGCAAGCATTTCCAATCGAGCCCAGCTTTCTAGACGAACCTCGCGAGGAACCGCTTGCTACGCAGGCTATATTTTGTTAAGACCCTGGCTGGAGCCAGTGACTTCAGTTTTCTTACTGAGATAACAGGTTGGTCGTGGTTTCATATTACCCGGAACTGTAACAAACAGTTTGCAAGCAAGGCATTCCTCTCTTTCCTTTCCCGGAAACGTCATAGTGCCCTCAGATAAACTACACAGTAGAACTTGTGGCAGAATAACTGTATTATAATTCATGTAACTAAGAGACCTTTTTGAGTTATTTTCGTGTCTAATTACTTTTAACTGGTTGTATATTGAACCGGAGCAAACTAGCAAGATAATTCTGCCTGCAGAACTTGATTGCCACAGATTGTATAAAACTACTTTTGATCAAACCTCGAAAGACACAGTGATGAAAAAGATAAAGGTAATGTTAGAGTTTCTCAAAAAACTAATTTGTAATGATGTACAATGCTAACGAAATAAATCCTGATTGATTTTAAAGTGAAATTAAAAGTTGAGCACACGGCATCTTAAAGCAAGTACATCAATTTGAAGGCAGTGCAACGTGAACGAGGTAAAACGCGTCCGAAGAAACGCGGTTGATTTCCATTTTATTGTAGTTTGAAGTGCGTTTCCATCTTTATTTCTTCTTTTTTAGCAAACTCGACGATCCGATGATGTAAGAGCCAAGAGTCCAAGACCCACGCTCTGCGCATTGCGAAGGCACTCAATGCGGAACTTGAGTCAGGATAAGAGTTTGCTACACTGTGGCATCCGTGCTTTAACAGTGCTAATGGTTCGCTGAATTTCATCGATTATCGCGCCACGATGCAAGAGGAATCAACGGTTTCTCAGACCTACACCTAAATGCATCTAGTATTTCCTTCTTTCGTTTAACTTCACCATGTGGCAACTGCTGCAGCATTGCCAAAAACTCTGAATGCTGACAAAATGGCATTCATATATGGCCGTAAAATACCCTACAATATTACTCAGTTATCTCGTAAACATAGAAATTGTCCCTTAAGCCAACACCATAATTACATCGATTCGTCTTGAGTTGGTTGCCTGGTGAAAAACTGTGGACTCCGTAACAGTTTCCGTAGTTTTCCACACCAAAGAATCTCATCCTCTTCGTTTTAGCCAAATGAGCACATTTTTTGACAATCTTATCCATTTGTTTAGAAAAAGGCGGAAAACTCCAACTGATGTCATTACGGAGGTCCTGGAGAAGTGAGGAAGGAAAGTTGCGATAGCACCCAACTGGATCTGACAGAGAAAAAGAATAATCTTTTAACTGAAAATCAATTTGGAGAATCGAAAGGGGGCAGGCAATTCGAGGTATTTTTGGCGGGAAATCGCATGGCCAACAGGACTTTTAGAGAAAAAAACAAAAACAAAGTCGAGTCTTTTTACACGTTATTTTTGACGTCTAAACTCACGTGGATAACGTACAGAGAAAGAGCTAGAGCGAGTGATTAAAAACAAGGGAGAAGAATTTCGTTGGAACAAAAACATGAAAATTTCATAGAGGCAGTGAGAAAATGCGAAATGCTAGCGGCCAATAAGGTGAAAATGAGAGGTAGTGAAAAAAATAAAAGCGGACAAGAACACAAGCAACAAACGTACGTTTTGGTGAACACATACAACAATTCCCCCTTAAAAGATAATTAGGCAGATTAGGATTCACGTTTACCGCAAACGGCAAACGTCAGACTCAAGTTGAGAATTTCTAAGAAAAATAAGCAGATAAAAACAGTCCCGAACGATTCCTGTGGTTAAACTCTGGCATAATACTACTTATTTTAGTGTAGAAGCAATAAATATTCAACGGAAAATAAGGGGAAAAATTGGTCGCGTGGTACAAATTCACGTCTGCCGTTTGGCGTAAACGTGAATCTTAATCTCTCTTGTGTAACTAGGACGTTTCACGTTTTAGTCGTGCAAAACGGCATTCATTTTGTAGTCGTGCAAAACAACGGCAAAGAAATGTACAAAAAGTTTACTGCACGTGCAATTTGTTTTTTTTGCTAATTAGATCTACTGATTTTGTTGCCGTTTTCATTGCGGTCGCCGTTTAAGGTGATGATACACGGAACGATTCGCAACGACGATTTATAGCGCAACACAGCGTTGCAATATTGGAGCAATGTTGCAACCATTCGAAACAATGTGGCAACAATGATGCAACGCTGTGTGGCGCTAAAAGTCGTCTTTGCAAATCGTCTCGTGTAACATCACCTTTAGCATTACACGATTTCATTTTTTTCTTTATAAAGGTGATGTTACACGGAACGATTCGAAACGACGATTTTTAGCGCAACACAGCGTTGCAATATTGGAGCAATGTTGCAACCATTCGAAACAATGTGGTAACAATGAGGCAACGCTGTGTGGCGCTAAAAGTCGTCTTTGCGAATCGTCTCGTGTAACATCACCTTTAGCATTACACGATTTCATTTTTTTCTTTATAAAGGTGATGTTACAAGGGACGATTCGAAACGACGATTTTTAGCGCAACACAGTGTTGCAACAATGTTGCGACATTGTTTCGAAGGGTTACAACATTGTTCCACCATTGCAACGTTGTGATGCGCTAAAAATCGTCGTTGCGATATCTTCCCGTGTAACATCACCTTAACTATCTAGTTAACGAAAATCTTTATATTATTTAGTAGGGGAAACTGGTTATGAAAGCCGGCAAACAAAGTTGAAAACAACGGTGCTGTAGTTTATGTCGGAGGCTGGTTAACTGTCAGGGGCACCCAACGAGAATATAGTTCAAAACCACTTAAACATAGCATTGTTGAACGTATTTTAGTATTTGAACGGTAGATATAGGCATATTTTTAACCCCTCAAAAATTTCCATCTGTTCGGATTGCTAGCTGAAAGTCTAGTGATCCGAAAACTTAAAAACATTTTGGAATACACTGTTCTTAACAAATAAAGGTACCATTCCTAGAAGCAATACTTACCGATGCAAATCTCAGTGGTATTACACGTTTGTACATCTCTAGGATGTCCTTGGCAGGACCTTCCACCAGCAGCTGGTGCAGGATTGTCACACTTGCGTTCGCGTGACACTACACCAGTTCCACATGTCACGCTACATTCTGTCCAGGAACTCCATAAAGACCAGCCACCATCGACTGTGTGACAAAAAGAAATGGAGATCGTTAAAGCGCACGCAAAAACAACAACAACAACAACAACAACAACTGCAGGCTATAACACGACTTTGAGGAAACTGGTTTTATTAATAACACTAAAAAACACACGAGGAGGCAGGTCTTGTACATATGTCTTGTAATTAAAAAATATTAAATTTCGAACTTTTCAGTAGTGCATTGTATAACAAGGCTTTGATTGAAGAAAGCTAACAAAACTCGACGCCAATGCAGACAAATAGACAATAAAGTTGGACAGCTGGGCTCAAAAGCAGACAACCAGACTGGCAGACCACTAGATGAATAAACAAAATAGACAACGCAAAAAGCTGGCCAAGAAGCACCAGCAGACAGACAGAGATCGACCGACAGACACACCGAAAGAAAGAAAGACAGACAGACATACAGATGGACGGAAGAAAACAAAGACAAAGAAAACAGAAGGATGGAAGCCAACCTGGGCACTTGTTCAAAGCACATTCCTTGGACTCGTAGTGATGAGGACCGCAGCCTTTCCCGCCAAAATAAGGAGGTGGATTTGTACAGGAGCGATTGCGCTCCCTTGTGCCTCCACCAGAGGTATTACCACAGCGCGACCAAGAACTCCAACCACTCCAACCGCCATGCACTACAAAAATGAAAAATCTTCAAAATTCAGGCGACACGTTACGTTATATCGATCTTAACCTTACACTTGGACAAAGGGCAATCGTATGGTGATAACGAAAGGAAAAATGCAGTGGCAGATCCAGGGGAGGGGCCCGAGGCCTGCCCTCCCCCCCCTTATTTTTAGACTATACTGAGGCCCGAAGGGCCGGGAAAATTTTTTTTTTTAGTCCGGGCCCCCCCCCTTATCTCAGGGTCTGGATGACCGCCCTCCCCCCTTCAACCCCCTTATCTGAAGGTGTGGATCCGCCACTGAACATGTGTGCGTTACGTAAGCCCTTGCTTGTCATAGAAATCACAAAGGAAGCTAGCTATAACTAGAAAGGAAGGTTCAACTTACCCGGGCATGGGTTTGAATTACACAGTCTGCTTTCCCCCTCTTTTCCTGGGCATGTTTTCCCGCCAGCACTCGGTGGAGGCTGCGTACAGCTTCTAGACCGCTCCTGCGAACCAATCCCACAGGATTTGCTGCACGAGCTCCAAACACTCCAAACTGACCAACCTCCATCAACTGTCAAACGTCAAAAAAATCGTCATTCGATCAGTTTTCACGTGGATTTTAACATTAAAGGCAAGGTGCAAGTAATTACATAACTGAAACGACCACTGAACGGGTATTCGTTATGCAGTTATGTTCAGAAACTTTCAACTCTTGGAAATATTTATGGCATAAAAAAAAATTACTTGAACATATTTACCAGTGCTACCAGCTTTTACAGTAAACTGTTTCAGTATGCTTTCAGTATGTTTCAGTAAACTACTCTCTGATGGTACACCATGTATGGTACACCATGTATCTCCGTCACATTTTTATTTTCGGAAAGGCCGTTAGGGTAGAACGGGGCCAGGCCGGCCAAAACAGAACACATAAATGTTGTCAAATGAATGTTGCCAGGCATGAAGCACCATTCGCATAAACACAGATAGGTAAGAGAATAGGAACTTAGCCCGAACCTGGACATTTTTTCACCGCACACTCCTTGGATTCGTAATATTGTGTTCCACAACCTTGCCCTCCGTGAAAAGGAGGTGGATTTGTACAGGATCGCGTTCGCTCTCTTGCCCCTCCGCCACAGGTTTTAGCACAGGAAGACCAAGAACTCCAGACACTCCAACCTCCATGCACTATAACATCACAACACCAATTAATAACTAGTAATTATGCCGCACTCAAAGTCGGCCGACAGTCGATGGTGTCCCACCGATCAAGTAGATCTCACTTGTAAATTACACAAAATATAATGATATTATGCCAGCAAAGGCGCCTAGAAAAACTGAAAGAATTGTTCTCGTAATGTGTGGCACATTTTTTTACTACCAAGATTCTAGTTAGGTGGGATTAGAGTTTAATATCTGCGTTCTTAAGGGACGCAGTAACAAATATGCCAGCCATAAAGGGTTCACACAGCCGGAGAAGACGGAAAGATTGAGTTCATGAAAGAATGAACAGTGGGAGTGAATTGATGACTGTACCTCCTTATATAGAACTATCACTTCATCAAATCATTCCAAAAACTTTCGCAGTGACTATAGTCCAGTTTGAATTATAAACTTACCGCTGAATACAAACATTAGCGACACAGGGTTAGTCTCAACATAAAGTAAAATACTCACAAATTCTGAGGTGTTTTAAATTTGAAAATACACAATAGACAGAGTAATAAACAGGTCTTCTCCGCGTTTAAATTTTATTCAGCGAAAATTTAAGAAGATAATACCACGTTATTAATATGTATTTTTCGCTAATTTTTAAAAATCCATCCGCCTGCCGCTTATTGCTCACGGTTTTGTTCAATCATCCACAATTATTAGCCCTGGCATATTGTTTGTAAGTCCCGTCTGTCGAAATCAAAAGTTTCACTATGAGTAGTTTTGAACGTAAGTACACAGAGAAACTTTGCTAATGCAACATATATAAAAAGGACTTCAATGAGATCCATCTGTAGCATAGCGTGCAAATAGTCTGTGTCCTTCAATGAAATTTATATCTCCTGGTCTTACCTGGGCATGGATGATTGTTGCACTCATGAGTTTCCCGTACTTCTCCTGTGCATGGTTTTCCACCAAATTTCGGCGCTGGTCGTGTGCAGCTTCTAAAACGTTCCTTGAAACCAGTTCCACAGGACTTGCTACAGGACGTCCACCCACCCCAGTTAGACCAGCCCCCATCGACTACGACATAGAAGTAAAGAAGATCAATCATCTCGTCTTCTGTTCCCAAATGTTCAAAAAGTGGATAGCGCTATCCAGTGGATAATGCAATTAGTTTCCCTGATACTTAACCACTAGACAGTGATTTATCCAATGGCATACATGCCAACCCTCTCCCGGATTATCCGGGAGTCTCACGGTACGACACCAATCTCCCGGTCTCCCGTACGGGTCACCATATCTCCCGGATAAAATCATCTTTTGAGCTTTTCTGTGCCTTAGTTTGAGATTTAGCAAACTTTTAGCTCAAAACGTGAATTTTTTTTTTTCGTAGCACGGTTTCTAGGGCATTTTTGCACCTACTTAGTCACTGACAAAGATTATTTCTGGCATCAAAACGTTTATCGCGAATTTTGATAAAATGTACTTCATGTAAGACTTCATACAATGTCCTAAGTCATTCCCATATTTATCGGGGTGGGGAGGGGGGATGAGGAGGTTCATTAAATTTCCGGGGGGGAGTGAAAAAGAGAGAGTCTCCAGATTTTAGATCTCCAGAGGTTGGCATCTCTGCTATGGATACCGCTATCGAACGTTTGAACAACCCTAGCCAGGAGTGTGTTTTCATAATCACGGGTCTAAGTTTTTCAGGAAGGAGCGAGGTTGGGAGGGAAACGTATTCGGTTATGGTAAAACAAGCGTCGCGTGCTTAAGGAAAATATAATAAACTTGTTTTTTAACGAACATGGTGTGTGCTATTTACATTAGCATTTGGCGTCACCTCCACAAGGCATGCTTATCATACATCCCGGAATATAGCACCATTGCTTGACCGAATAAATCCTTAGGACACGAAAGTATTCAAAAGTTAATGGCAACACATACTTACAACTTTTGGGGAAACTAAACATTATTTTGAACCTTCTCGTAAGCTCGCAATTATTGGTAAGAGGGGAAATAAGTGTCTATTAAACTGCATACCTGGACAAGACTGCGTGTTGCAAACTCGTTGATCACGAGCCGCTCCTGAACACGTTCTCCCGCCATGTTGAGGCGGTGGTTGCGTGCAGCTCCGCGACCGAGTTTGTGTTCCAGATTCACATGATTTGGTACAAGTTGTCCATACGCTCCACCTGGACCAGCCCCCGTCAACTGTTACAGAATAAAAAGAGTGATTAAAATGTCAGTTTAAGATAGCAGTCGATAAATGGTTAGTCGAGAAACCGACCAGGCAGTGATAGGTATTGATCATTGACAAGAAGGGATAAGCAGAGGAAAGCGAAAATGATTATCACAATTGGGGCTTTATATCGGCCAGCATGGTCCGGCCGAAGTTTGATCCTGCAACCAAGAGGAAACCGGCATTCTTGCAAAGGAGGCATTTTCCCTCAAACATAACCGCTTCGTTTTTTTCAATTTAGTAGTTCTCAATATTGCATAACCTGAAGCACCATGAAATAAACTGTAAATAAACGTAATTTTATGCCACGAAAGATATTGCTCATCGTGTCCAATGTGTTTGAAGAGCTTCGTTTAACGTTTGTCTCACGACTGTTACTTATATGTTGACCGCGACGTTTCGACCACGTACCGCTGGTCTTCATCAGGCGACAGGGTCGATTTACTGAGTAGGACTATTTTATGATCACAACTTACTTGGACAAGGTTTCGTTAGACATGGTTGTCCCTTTCGCGCAGGTCCTTGGCAAGGTCTTCCGCCATATTTTGGGGCAGGATTAGTACAAGTGCGGGCGAGCACCGTTATTCCAGTACCGCAGGACACACTGCATGGTGTAAAAACAAACCAGCTTGACCAACCTCCGTTTACTATGCAGTAAGAAAACAAATAAAAGATTTATTTTTAGTAACATTTTAGTATTTGGTATGACAACCTTGTGGCTGGTTTTAAAGCGGTACACATAGCTTAAAATCCGTTCAAGCGATCTTATCCATCGTATGTAACACTTTCATGATGGTAGATAGACACTGGTAGAATTCGTTGGGATAGTTTTTAATGATATATTTTCTTGCCCTATGCAAGGGAATCCAGATTCCGGAATCTGAGAAAGTTTTGCTTGTGAAATCTGGAATCCTGGGTTTTGGAATCTGGAATACAGCTCAAGGAATCGGGAATCCTAGTAAGGATTGGAATCCAGAATCCAAATTCCACTAAAAAAGACTGGAATCAAGTGCCTGGAATCCGGAATCCACGGCGTTGAATCAGTCTTGGATTCCCTTACATACGGCGATATATGTCTATGATGCATTAGACTCGTCTTTAACATTTCCAGTACCGATTGAAATATGGTTCACATGGAAGGTCGCCTTTACTTTCCCAAGCAACCGTTATTTAGATAGAAAAAAATCCAAATATAATTTTTCTGACCGCTTACTTCGTCTCGTTAAAAATACTTTATAGGTAAAAATCGTTCTGTGAAAGAAGCTAATACAAGCCAGCTCCTGTGTATACTGCAAGGCAGATACTTCAGTTTTCCTTAAAGTTGTATTAATAATAATTGTATAATAATAATAGTAATAATAATAATAGCAATAATTCATTATTTGATTCTTATAGCTAGAATATTTTTGACATGTTATCCGTGTCTCTCACCTGGACATGAGTGTGCGTTGCAAACCCGTTGTTCCTTTAGCGCTCCTGGACACACGTTCCCGCCATGTTGTGGCGGCGGTTGCGTGCAGCTTCGTGATCGAGTTTGTGTTCCAGATCCACAGGATTTGGTACAAGTTGTCCACACGCCCCATCCGGACCAACCTCCATGAACTTAAGAATGAAAAAATTGTAATAACAAGTGCAGGTAGAAAGAAGATATCTCTGACTTCTTCTCCGTATTCGTTTTCACAAACGTAGGACCTGATATGTTGGAAAGTGATTGGCGATTTAACCCCCACTTCCTTGGAATGCTAGCGCATTCAATCAGCACGCCGTGCACCTATTACTCGTTAGCATTGTTTTAGTATTAATTGGTGGTGTTTGGTAAAGAATGTTTATTTAAGACGATGTTAATCCCAAATCTTCAAATCTCAGTGTTAACCACTGAAAGAATAGTCTGCTACACAGCCGTTTTTAGTGTCGTCACGCAACGCTCCTCCCCACTAGTGGGGAGGAGCGTTGCGTGACGACACAAAAAACGCCTGTGTAGCAGACTACTGAAAGAAAAGCTGCTGAAAAGTTTGGACAGATACATGCATTTATATTAATGCGTCCTGAAATGACAAATGGCAACGTAAAACGGGAAGGACAACTATGGTTCTTACCAGGGCAGGGTTGCCTGTTACACATTTGCTTCTCCCACGTTGATCCCAGACACGTTTTCCCGCCGTAGCTCGGAGGTGGGCGCGTACAGGTTCTAGAACGTTTTTGGGACCCAGCCCCACATGATTTGGTGCAAGAAGACCATCTGCTCCAGTCCGACCAACCTCCATTCACTGTATGTATCAAAAGGAAAGTCAGCGGCACGATCCCGGACAAAAAGCAAACTTACTGTAGTAAAATAAGTCATTAATGAAGATATTGAAGAGTATCAACAGTACTGAAGCAAAGACGTTTTTGAGCGACAAACGTCAACGGTGGATTTTTTCCATTCTTGGGCTGTGGTTGCGCCCCAATTCGCAGGCAAATTGTGTTTATTAGAGAAAAGAAACTTAGCAGTACAAATTTAATAGCGTCAAGGCATATTAGAGCGGGAAAGGCCTCATTCCGGTTGACGTATGTCGCTCCACATTGCCTTTGCATAAGCACCCTTTTTAACGCTATACTTAAACAGCTCCGTCTGACGTTCCGTTTATGGCAGCTGTCTCCAGTAGCATATTTCTGGAACAAGCGGTACTGTACCGGAGGTACAAGGTGTGTGTGTGGGGAGGACGAGGAGGTTTTAGCAATGGGTACCGCAAACAGATTTTAATGGTCAACACTGGCTGTTTTTGTATCACTGAGAAAACGTTTAGTCACAGTTGTAACACGTGGCAAATCGCAAGGAAAAGCTATCACTATTCCCCATTTGTTTAACTCCGTTGCCCAGTGTCTATCTTTCTCATTTTGAAAATGCCTTTCAACAATATCATTGGCTTTGGAGGCCTTTTTAATATAGCCCTTATCTTGGTTTTACATGCAAAATAGTTTTGTTTTTTCGACCCCTAAAAGCCTCGTTAGTAACCCTGTCCACTCAATTGCACTGCAACATGTGTTTCAGTGTAACCTTTATAATCTGGACCATTCGATTATTACATTCTTACCAGGACAATAGTGTGTGTTGCAAGCTTGCGAGTCTCTTGAAGATCCGGTACAGGGTTTACCGCCGTTGCTGGGCGGCGGTTTTGTGCAAGTTCGTGTACGTACTCTTACACCTGATCCGCACGTTTTACTGCAAGAGTTCCACGAACTCCAAGTTGACCATCCACCATTGACTATACAGGAGGAAATTAAAAAGGAAATAGAGATTATAAAAATATCCTACACTTGGAAATTTTTCTACTTCCTCTTCTAGATAAGGGCAACGAGCCAAAGAGCGACTGACTTCTGATGTAAAAACAGCTAGGAGTGCTCCGGCGGAAACGATTCAAATACGATAAACGTGGATGCGATTAGCCTTCATTTAACCTTCTAAAACGTATTTTCATCACTGTTTCTGTTTTGATAGAATAATGCAGTTTGTCGTTAATGAACATGGCAATGAAAGAAAAAGAAAAATGGAGGAAAAATGCGTGGAACGAGCTTACTATAAGCCCGGGAGGTACTTTTGGATTTTTTTGGTAGAGGCGTGCCGCCTAGTTCTCCAAATTCTGACCCTATTTCAGACCAAAAAATGTCATTATTCACACTCGTTTTCAGATCTGACCTCTAAGAAATAATGTCATCATTACTTGTAGATTAGAACAGCAACAAAAAAGATTTCTTAAAATCCATTTCTAATTTGCATATTCTTCTTTCTTTCTTGGTCATTTGGGATTGAAATGATAAATACATATACTCCCGTAGTTCCCTCGAAAACCATAACCGATTCCAGATCAAAACAGGCAAATCTACACCTGACTTCAATACAAAACGACGCAAAAACCCCACCCTTTGAGGCGGCACATACCTATATGGCTTATATAAGGGAGTATCCCCCGGGACTAGAGGGTGGACCTTTTGCCAAGAGCAGAAGTCAATTAGAAGATTTCACGCACATAAATCTAGGCTGCATTGTGCATTAAAGTCACTTTCGTCAAAGTGGCATCTCATGGTCGATTGGTGATACAAGTAATGATACAGTGAGTGATAGTATTGTATTACATAAGACGATTATTGAAAAGACCCACTGGCGTTCAACATGACCAAAGACCATTGCTGAAAAAAGGGGGTAGGTGCAAAGTGTATTCTCATGTCGATTTTTAAAATTTTACCCGACGACTTGCATTCAGTGGCAAATTTAGAGATCAACAAGGAAAACGAAAAAAAAATCAACATACTAACCTCCAGTGCAGCATCGCCCAGAGTAACCACTTTTGCAAATACATCGACCTGTTACCGGTGTCCCCCTGTTCGGACACCCTCGATTACACGGCTGAATATCTACCAGCGCATATGGACATCCCCCGCCGCATGTTCCCGGGCGCGTAACTGTCCTTGTTCGTTTCTTAGTTCCCCCATTTCCACAGGGTTGGGAACATGGGCTGTACTTAGTCCAAGCACTAACTGCACAGTTTCTGACAGGACATCGCCGCCTACGTCGCCTCCTCCAACCCTCTGTGTAGTCCAATAACATGAGAAAGAGAACGAGAAGGGACCAAAGTGATTTGGGCATCATTGTTCCTGCAAAGCTGATGAAGATTTCAATCAAACAAATCATGAGAGAAAGAAGAAGAAATCTGGTTCCTTATAAACAACTACTACCATCAACAAAATAAGTTTGCTGCTTCTTTTCTGACACCAATATACACGTAGGTGGTACATGTATGCCAGGGTTTCACTACCGGTCCAGGCCAAGAAACTAGACTCCCATGCAGACTTTCGTTAAGCTTCCTCGCGCGCTCCTTCACCACTTGGGGAAGGAAGACACTTCAAAGCCCTGGGAACGTCTGCGTGGAGGGCTGGGGTTAAAGAACACACTAGATCTGACTGAGATTAGACTGGTTGCAGTCCGCCTTTTCTCTTAAAATCCGTTTAGTTCTTATCTCATCCAGCACGACTGCAAACCACGAAGTTATTATTACAATAAGGGATTGAGACCAGACGATAATTTTTTCTTCTCGGGCTTACGCCCTCGTTTCTCGCGGCTCCCGGCTTTGCCGCTCGCGTGCTTAGGTTTCGCGTGCAGTAGCTTTGCAAACAAAAATAAGAGACTGCTTGCAGTCTAGACTCTGAGATCGGCTACCTCTGCACAAGATTACCGATCCCAAATGAAGATTGCGTATTTTTACGTAATATATCAAGCCCGCATGAGACGCCGTGTTTCATCACCAGATGAAACACCGAGAAAAGAGTTGAAAATACGACGCGCAGCGGAGTATTTTTGACCAACTTTGAGGTGTTTCATCTGGTGATGAATCACTGTGAAAAGCTGTTTTTTCTTTCAATTTTTTTCAGGCTAATCGCGTCCACATTTATCGTGTTTGAATTTATCGCGTTTGAATCGCTTTGCGCAAAATGCTGCGTTCGCCTCGCTTGGCTCATAAAGCGTCTGTTATGCCCGGGCTGTTATGCAGGCTAGAAACCGAAAGGAAAAAATTAACTCGAGATATGAGCTAAGGCTTTAAAATTGTAAGAAGGCAAATTGGCAGTGAACCACAGTCCTATCCCAGGCAAGATCAGATACTGTTTCGGTTTGTCGAAAATTTTTCTTTTTTTCATTCGTTCACTTGAGTTCGCAACAATGGCTTCTTCAAAAATTTCAACTCTAAAAAGCGTTTTTCAAAAACCGTGACGTTTCGCCGACCGTCAGTTTTCATTACGGACGACCAAGTAGAAATACGGGCGGTCGACACCTCGGACGAACGACGAACCACAAACGTGCGAAATCTAACAGAAACTTTTGGTCCACTCCAAAAAGCATTACGGTCTTTAGACAGTAGTTAGCGTAGTCTAGACATTAAAAAAAAGTTATCCATGTCACTCTAAAGCCACATGTGTAACATGTTAGTCGTACCACCGCGGTTCAAAATGGATCTTTATGAAAATTGTAAAGTGACTGGTTTGTATGCTTACCTCTCTTCCGCTGCCTCCTTTGATAAAAAAATTTAAAACGAACGTCAATTACCTCTTGATAACGGGGACCAAAAGCAGCGAATGTTCCAAAAAATCTAATTCCACTTCTTTCACCGTGAAGAAGACGGCCCGCAGAACCCACGCGATCAATTGCGAAAGAGGTGATGCAGCCCAAGGAATATGTATAACTTCCTTTCAGCCCCTTCAGCGGCATTCAGCCCTGCTTAAAATTCCAGCTAGATTCCTCCATTTCCCTCGAACCTCCGGCAGAAACTTGTCAATTCACGCACTTGATAAAATCCAAAACTAGTCTTTACCTAGCAAAACTTTAACCTTTCAGGAAGGGTAGGAGGTTTGCGGTTTTAAAAATGAAAAGGAAATGTTTACGTTGACGTCATGTCACGGTTAAAGTCACGCAAGATTATTTCGCAAAACCGGAAATGGATAACTTTGGGACTTGAATGAACACCTTTTGAGCAAAGCGGGTCAGCCTTTCAACTCTGTTTCTTTCTCACGTTCTTCTTTGTTCGGTGGCAAGCGCACTCTGCCACTGGGAATTAAGATATTAAAGACAGTGATAAGATCAGCCTTGATTTATTCGCTGTTATTTTGTTTTGTTTAGTTGTTCCTGGTTTTTAGTTTTGCTTCGTGACAAGAATTTAAAATCAGGAACGCTCCCGACAAATCGCATCGATACGAATGTCTAAGCACGGAACCAAGAGCCACAATGGCTCTTGACGGAACGCAAAAAAAAAAAATGTTCGGTGAAGCGAGATACCCGAGTTTCAGGGCGAAAACCGTAAGTTCGATTTACCAGGATAAAAGAGAGCAAGATAGAATGTGAGAAAGAACTAACGTGTCGTGACGCGGATAGCGCGAAACCCGAAAAGCCAATAAAGAAGCGACGACCGGCAACAGCATTTCTCTTAAAATCATTCGAGTTCTGGTACCCGAGTTCATACCCCAGCGTACTGCCTTAGTTAACCTTAAAAGGAAAAGAAACACAGAAACTTTTTGCAGTCCTAAGTACTGTGTGGAAGAAACTGCAGAACACCAAGACAAGACATACTACGCTTTCAGTTGCTTTGTGATCAGCAACATGGACTATTAAAGGCATCTTGTTATACGCGGTGCATGGGCCGGGTATCGGAGCGGCATTTTGAACATTGGCGGCACTGATCGAGCTTTGTCGTTGAATTCTTGTTTTAAAAACCACAAATAAATGTGATTTTTGCCATTTAACTGTTTTTATTTAAAATTTCCCGAAATCGGTAAAGGTTCCGCGGCGTTAGTCTGAGGTCCTCGTACTCTCCCTATTATCCCGCGCGTACTCGAATACGCAAAAAAAACGGACTGTTTTGCAAAAATTTAAATTTTTCCTTAACGCCTTACTCTCAGGTTATCGAAAGATGGTCAAGTCTAACCGAGGATTAAGCCAAATTCTAAGCAAGGTTTTCATGTCTAAGAACATGTAACTCGAGCTTACAAAACACTGTTGTGCCTTTACTTGGAAAAAAAGAAATGATAACTCAAAATGTTACTCCAAGCAATGCATAGGAAGGTAAATACAAAGAGTGGAACAAAATTTTAATCCTTAATTAGCGCTAATCGGCCTTTCAGGAACCGTTAACTCGAACTTTTTTCTATTTCCTTGAAGGTTCGGGAGTCGACTGTAATATACTTACGGGTGTAAGGCCAATATGTACAGCTTTCAAAGCAAGAAAAGAGCTAATAATTTTCATAAAACTTTTTTATAATTAACAGGCCTACATAAACTGCGCCCAAAACAACGGCCAAGGCCACAAATCCAAGTGGGCGCGGTTATGGTGTTTTGATACAGTTTTTCGGAGATCGCACCGACACTTCAGTCGCCTCAAAAGAGGTTATCCGTGTCCCGCTATAAAAAGTTTTCAAAATACAGTTTTTACTGAATATGACAACGATAAACAAAAATGAACTCGAATTTTTGTCAAAATACCTGCTAGACATCCAACACCAGGAAAGTAAAGTGCAAATGTTTAGCTCCGTGAGGGAGTAAAATTCTGAAAAAAATTAAAAGAATATATATTTAAAACCTATTCATTTTCCAGTCGGCAAGCATCAAACACAAACGCAGTCAAAGGATCGATCATTAAATCTTTTTCGTGTAACGGGAAAATTTAAGCACGATTTTAGAAAGATTGTCGTTATAAACTAAAAATCCTTCACGTCAAATTTGAGGATCATAATGTGATAAACAAGTCTGCAATAGTTTCCTTTTTGGATTCGCAAATTTCCTCATTTTCCCTCCCCTACCCAACAAATCATACAGCTTGACAACTTTGTAACCACTCCTGCCGGCGTGTTTTATTTTTATGTCCCAGGAAAGGATGAGAACATTTGGGCAAATGGCGAACGAAAAACGCTAGGGGGTTCGGAGAAAACAGCACGGTCAATGACAATCAGCACCAGCAGCAGAAAGGAGAAATGTTGGCCCATTTTGAGAGAGGCAGTTCTGATGTGGATTGGTGCGAGTCAAACTACGCACACGTGTCTTTCATAGCAGAATTCTACAACACGGTAAGGCGGAAGCGCCCGCTCTTTAGAGCGTGTCAGTAGAGATAGGGATTGTACATTTGAACCAAAGAAAAACATCCATAAGAGAAATGTGCCCCTATTTCAGTGTTTTACGTAAGGAGTTGTTGGCCTGTATTCAAAGAAATTATAATTCCAAGGACTGATAAATTCTGTTTTATTATTGTTGTGTTTTATAACGCAGATAAGCAACGTCATTTTTCTCGTTTTTCCTCCATTTTTCGTGTAAGTATACCTTTCGTTGTTCTTAACTTTTTGTTCATACTAGCTATAACTGCCTTTAGTTTGATGTACTTGTCGTTTCAATGAAACAGTCAACAAAACGGGTCCAGTTCTTTAAATTTCACTGAATGCGCCTTAGTTCGGTATGTGTACTTTTTGCTCATGTTTGCGAAACCGGTCGGATTATATTCAACCACAGGAATTCAATGTAGCGATATTGTATCCCAGCACACAAAGTCGAGTAAATTAGAATACTTTTCCAAAGCCAATGCTCTATCAAGCTTACTAAGTAAACGAGAACTTATTTAAAAGAAAACAAAATGCACATCAGTTTTTAGCAGGTACTTAAAAGACACCTGTAGCTTGGGATATTTACATAATACCTTTTAAGTTAAAGTGAAACAAATGAAAAAAAATTATCTAACAGTAAGAGCATGGCTCTAAGTCTGATAGAAAATGCGTTTTACACATGCGGACGATTGTAAGAACGTGCTATTAACGAACTCACGTTACGCACCATAGAGCACTTACTTCGGGAGTCTTTGAAAAGCAGGTGGCGGAATGAATTATTTAGCATGGTAATTCTACTTTTATCATACTAACAAAACGACAGAGTTATTTATACTGTCTCGACATGAACAAAAATTATAGACTTCTGGTGATAAAACCGACACAAAAATAGTAAAATCACTTACCGTAAAAGATTGATTTGGGTACCATTTGTCTTTACAATTCCAGCAGTTCAACTCATTCAACCGTTCAGAGGTTTATTTTTCTTTAGACTAAGAGTAGTCCCCCATTTTTCCTCACGGATGGTAGAGCGAGCGAAACTCGCCTTTTCTCGTTTGGGGTGATTTTCACGCGCGCTCGCGTTTCGCTCGCTCTACTATCCCTGAGGAAAAATGGGGGACTACTCGTAGTCTAATTTTTCTTAGAGAACGTACTTCAAACCAAGGATGATTTATATTTCTTAGACATACTATTTTCAAACTGATCTGTATGAGCATCTAGATGTTAACACATTTTTTAACAAACAACTTTAGTATATCGTATGAGGTAAGGAAGGTCCTACAAAAACACCTGCATATTTTTCTTTTTTGACGACGAAGACCTATAAATGGGCAAGCGCTGAATGTCTGTTGTACAAGGCAGACAATTTAGTCTCACTGAGATTTAGTTACACAAAGTGGGAGATAACTAACAAAGAAAAAATAAAATATAAACGTAAAGAGGTCGGGGTTAGTTTCTCTAATTTTCGCGGCAGCCAGACGGTTATTCCAGTTTCACAAAAAATAATTTAAATTTGTTGGAAGAGCTTTGCACTAATGACGTTTCAAATTTCTGGTCCCTGCTGTGACTCAGACATTGAACCTGACGAGTTTAAGAGTTTTGTATGGGAAAGTCACGTTCGCCAACAAAGTTTCGTCGTCTTTGAAGATTTTTATCTTCAAAAGAAACAAAATCAGGCTTGGTTTCGGTAACATATATCCTGAAAATAATCAACGTGTCCTAAGACAACGTTAACCCGACGTAGTCAATCGAACGTTCGGTAATCGAACCCAATCGCGTCGATTGAGTTCGATGGGGTTCGGTAATTGAACTTAATCGAACTCACAAAAAAGCTCCAGTTCGATTATTTTCGATTGCCGAACCAATCGAACTCCAATCGAACGATTGGGTTCGATTGGCTTCGATTGGTTTTTGGTTCGGTTTCGTTCGATTGACTACTCCGGGTGTTAAACATGGAAAAAACTGAACAGATGAGTGATTTTATTTGCATGGACCAGTTTTTGCTCCCTACGACAGTAATGCCCTTTATATATTAGAACAAAGCTCAGAAGACATTTTAAAAACGCTCATTGCGAATTTATGAACAATTTTCATGTCAGTCGAAACGCATGTTGCTCATACAAGGCCTTTGAGTAGGCAAAGTTTGTCTGAGTCACGCGAAGGGTTTAAGGTGACAAAACCTATTTTTAGTAATAGTGCAAAGCGCTATTGAATATGGCCAATGAGGGATGTTGCATTGCAGAAAAGGGTTCTTAAGATATTTGTCCACCATTAAGTTAGGGCTAATTCGCCTACTATTGTATTACGTAAATATAACATTTATAACTACGCAACTTCACATGGCACAAAGTACTGAGAACGACAACCACATCAGTGCGCTGTTCAAAAAGCATGATCGCGTTGTATGAAACTAACTTCACGAGCCTTACTATCTCAGAATATGCAATGTATGTATTGTAAATACTCAATTAGCGCCCAGCTTCTAACAAGTTCCCACTTCGCCGAACTGAAGACTCCTTTAAATCTGGAAAACTATGACGTTGCGTTTCTAATTAGCACTGTCCCTCCACCTCAACAAATAGACGAACTCTACTAACAAAGAGGTCAAAATAGTACAAACGTTCTTTAGAGACCATTAAAGGGTGGAATTGTTAACCCTTACTTTTCAAATGAAAGTGACTTTCAGAACAACTATAACCTCGTTCCCAGGGCCCTTTGTCACTCGTCCTCTTTCTCACCCCAAGGGACGAGCAGGAGAGAACCATGGGAACACAGTTGTTTGATGGTTTGATAAACGGGTGTTATAAAAGTCAAGGTAACTGAAGCTCCGTGCAAACAGACGCAACATTGTTGGCCAACAACTCCCAACATTGTAGGATATTAAATGTTGACTACGTTTAAACACCCTGTTGCATATTGTTAGGAGTGTAGTTGCGCAGAGTTTGAAATCGGTCAAACTTCTGAACCAGAGACTCCCAACATTTCTTTATTAGTGCGATCGGATCGCCGAAGCGTGGCGCAACAATGTTGGATCCGTTTGCACAGCTCTCCCACCATTGCTGGGGCCACGCACGCACATTTAACATGGTTTACAAAAATTATGGGTTGTATTCTTCCCACGATGCACTGCAGGTCCCAACTTGCATCTGTTTGCACACCTCTTCCAACACAGACGAAACAACTCCCAATATTGTTTGCCCATTAATGTTGGGAGTTGTTTTTTGACTGTTTTGACTGCCGTCTATTTAAATTTTCTTGTGTTCATTGTAGGTACCTGTTTCGTCCCTATTCTAAGCATGTATGCTCCGGCGTTAATGTTATCTGGGCACTCTTTGTCGTGATTGGAATCAGTTCCGCGTATTTCCACGCCACTCTCAGCCTGGTAGGGCAGCTTTTGGATGAACTCGCAATCTTGTGGGGTGTAATGCTGGCGTTTGCTTTGTGGACACCGAAGTGGATGTTAACTTTAGGACCCATTGTTGTAGACAGGTATGGGTCAAAATATAAGTTGAAGTATTGCTGTCTCTCCAGCTGTTTATTCAATTTCTTTTTATTATGAGGAATACGTACAAAAAAAAAAAAACAAAACAAAACAATCAAAGCCAGCAACTTAAACAAAACCTCTCTGAATTTGGAAGTAATAAAGATTTTCCCAGACGTAATGAACACTTGACTTGAAAAATGAAAGATTAAAAAATGAAATTAAATAAATTAAAAAAATCAAAATTTTCCAGCGCAGTTTTGACTGGAAAGCATCACTTTTGTTTTTCAGTGATTGTCATCATTACCGGCATACAGTCGTTAGTGCCATTGGAAAATAACCATGGGTTTATCTTGTCCATACAGGGAAAAGTTTCAATGTGCTATCTTTGCACTGTCGCTGATTTTTACTTGGCTAGGATTTCTTTATCCTGTCGCTAACGCATTTGTACTGCTGACGTTTGGAGCCCCCTTTGTGATCATGTTATTTGCTGAATTAAAAAGGTAATATGACTGCAATAGGAATTGAAAATCACGACACGACTCAGTATAATAGGTTAACGAGTCGGGTGTCTTCACCTGTACATGAAAAGCTCCTAAAAGTTACATGCAACCTTTGCGATACCAAGTTCAGCCCTTTTCTCGCTCAAGAGTTGATAAAAATATATCTTTTATTTTCTTCACCAAATGAGCCAATCCTTATCTCCCCCTCAGTTGTAAACAAACAATCAAACTAACGAGAAGATTATGCATGAAACAAAAAGACCTCTTAACTTCCGAAGTTTAGTTTGTCTGTTTTTGTCAAGGTTTAGGTCGTTCTACTCTTAGCACTTATTTAAAATTCTTCGTAAGGTTTTCCCGACTGTGCCAGTCTATATGTCAATCAAGAAAGGTTGCCATAAGCAGTGTCGAATCCAGACCTTAAGATAAGGGAAGGGGCGGTGGGGGCGTTTGAGTCATCCACACCCTGAGATGAGGGGGGGAGGGGGGCGCGGTCTTAAAAGTTTGGTTTAAAAATGAGGGGGGCCCAGGCCCCTCCCCTGGATCCACCACCAGACTGATTTACCAACGGGAACGTCAGTTGACGACGGCGCGCGCAAATCAAACAACTGGCTTGACCAATGGCAGAGCAGCAAATTGAGCACCGGAAGTCATGTTTAGTCCTTTCCGCGCGCTTTCCCGTCGTCAACTGACGTCCTCGTCCTGTTGCTAAATCAGCCTACTGATAAGATCACACATCGCTGTGCCTTTATACAGGGTAACAGCAATGACGTTACCTTGTGAATACGACCAGATATATCTCCTGACCACCATGGGTGTTTACGTGAACACTAACTTTTGGTCATTAACCATAACTTACATATAGGCTCAGTGGCAGAACAATGGTGGGAATAATGATATAAGTAGAAAATGAGATGCATTTATAATTTTGTCTTTTCTACAGTTGCCAAAATATAAGAATCAGAAGGTTGGGATTTGCGTGTGTTGGTTGGCTGTTTCTTGCGGTGCTTTTCTGGCTGAACGACCGACTCTTCTGTGAGATATGGCGGTCTGTATCCTTCCCGTATCTTCACTGTGCTTGGCATGTACTGATTTTCGTTGCAAGCTATACCGGTTGTGTTTTGGGATCGTATTTCTATGCCGTCACCGAGTATCCACACCTGCGACCGGTCCTTTCTTTCTGGCCTTACTGGTCCTCTGGCTGGGGAGTCCCATACATTTCCTTGAAGGCTGCACCTAAGGAAAGAGTCTCCTGCTAATGTAACGGTCTCAAAGAAGAGACGAAGACAAATAAACAAATGAAAGACGTCAATTCAGCTGAAGGGCCTCTTTCTAGCTCTTTCTTTCTGGCTTTGCTGGTCCTCTGACTGCCGATTTCTACGTTTCCTCTATGACTCTACCGAAAAAAGTGCTTTCAAGGTAAGAGCAATGGTAAGAGACGAAAACCCTGGTAACATTTTGAAGGTTGATGCTTATATCACCTGATGCGGTATCAGAGAAACTTAGTTCCCTGACAAGGAACTTAAAGGACGCTACAAAAGTAACAGACATTCAGCACTACTGCAAAAGAGGCACGTGTATGCTGAACTATGCTGTGTTCTACTAAAAGTTCAAAGTTGCACTTACCTGCATCGCCACCGATTAAATCACGAACGATAACCTGAAGTCTGCGGACGTTTTCAAAATTAAAATTCACCATGACGCCAAAAGACAAGAAATGAAAAGAAAAAAAAAAACACGACACTGAGACGATCGTCGGATGGCAATGGCGACGTTCCGTCAGAGCAAATACAGAATTTCTTTACATCAATCTTAAGATGGCCGGTAAAAAATAATTTGTAACATTGTTCACAGTTACTGCTCGATAACAAGCATGGCTAAAAAAAGGCAAGAATGATCGGTAAATATGGGGACGGGGTACCACCAACTAAGAGACTGGCGTCTGAGTGCAATAATTCAGTAACTTTCGTTAATTGTCCGCCGTTGTGATTTGAAAGGCTTTCCAAAGCATTAGGAAGGCGAAACATCTTTGATTTCAAAAACGTTTCAAAGCATAAGAGAGTTTTGCCATCCTGTTTGCGGCTGAAGGGCTAACGGCAGGAATGAAAGTGATATCATATCTAAATGTTTTCAAAATGCAATCTATTGCGTTTGACGTTTGCCCTGTGCCCTGTGCAGTAACTTACACCCATTTCGTACTCTTGCCGCTTCCTGCATACTTTACAAACTAGAAGAGCACAGTCGAGGCTTCTTCATTTGTTAAACAACCGCTTTGATGATCGATAATTGATCGTCATCGTTCGTGGTTTCGGGAGCAAGGGTGGAGCAGTGGTGAGAGTACTCGCCTCCCACCAATGTAGCCGCGGTTCGAGTCCTGGCGTCGACGCTATATGTGGGTTGAGTTTGTTGTTGGTTTTCTCCTTTGCTCCGAGAGGTTTTCTTCCGGTATCCCGGTTTTCCCCTCTCCTCAAAAACCAACACTTCCAAATTCCAATTCGACCAGGAATCAGGTAGACGAAGAACCACCTTGTGGGAAGAGCTACCTCTAAATCGTTATTTATTTATTTATTTATTTATTTGTTAAGCAAGGTCATCTCAAGACTTGCAAAATAATGCGTCACGGCAAGTAGTACAAGGTGAGCCACATGCACGAGGGAAGAGTCAGAGACGACTGTATATCATAGACACTTTATTTCATAAAATATTATAAGAAGTAAACTCTAATTTATAATACAAAGACTATAATAATATTATGCAATTTAGAGCAATGGTGCAAGCAAGTTTCACAATCAATCCATTACAGACTTGTATGTTACATCAATCTTAACCCTTTCAGTTCCAATAATTGACCAACATCAATTTTCTCCCAACGATATTCATATGTTGCCAAGAGAAATGGTTATGAGAGTTAATAAAATGACCACTAAAGGGAAAATGCTTTGATCTATTGCCAAACTCTGTCAACTAATTCTTTAAGGAAATGTACGGAGATCAGTATGGAGAATTTATATGTGGATACTGGAGCTTAAAGGGTTAAATGAGTGACCGACGGTCGAACATTTGAATTGTGACCAGTCGAAACGTTTACATTACTTGAACGTTCCAGCAGTTAAAATAGGAATATCTTTGAACCTGATGTAGTCTTATACACAACGCAGTCGTTTTGAAAGAGCGTTTCACTATTTCACAACTGGCACAATTTTGAGTTTGTAAATGAAAGCGTCACAAGAGAAAGGCTAATCTTACTCAAGGTTGCTCCTGATCTAAAAGGAGTGTCGGTGAAGGATTAATTGACTCTAGAGGCTTCATAAAAACTCCATTATGTTTTGTCCGAGTGAGTTCCTCAGAGAAATAGAACATTGCCAATACGGGTGTTACCGCAGAATATAGCACTCAGGCTGATAATGGTCAGTAACGCGTTGCCCTTTATCCAAGAACATTTCTGCTCGCTCCAGCGTTAATACAACACAGGTCATTAAATGGGTTCGTACACCGATGAATGGCCTGTATTTCTTTCATTTGAATGATACACTTGTAAGTACGCACCTAAAGAGCGGGGTGTCGTCTCTACGTGACTTTGATGCTTTCAAGACTTGGTGAAATTTTAAGTGTGTGCCACGCCTAAAAAGGTTAAAGCAACTATAAGGAACTATTTACGTCAACCGTTTCTTTTAACGTATCGTAAACGAATCTTATCAGAAATTAAAACAGAAAATGAAAAATGCCGTTTTATTATTTAAGCTATTTTTGACAAGTTGCTTTCTCGAACTGTTAAAAAACTTAAAATATTCTGCATGAGAATTTTTTTGAGTATGGCCCTTGGCCTATTTACGCACAAATGCATAATGTCATTTAAGACATGATACAGTATCCCAACTTGTACAGATTTAAAATCGCTTAAAAATTCCCATTCACTCTTGATAGGTAACGCTGACCAATGCTTTAAGCACGAGCATGTCATAAGGCGCCGTGACAGTGCGTTTCCTCACGGCTCCCTTTAAATTCAGACTGGCCCTGTCCAAACAAAAACGGTTTAAACTGAAAACCCAGAGATTTAGAAACGACGCATTAAATGCTTTCCGTCAAGATTTATCCCAATACATTTCAAAACGAATCCTTCTTCCTCCCCGGCAATAAGCCAATAACAGATATGAGGTTGTGTTTCTACATTAAACCGGAAGAATTTGAAAACGAAACGCGGCAAACGCTGCCAGAAAAAAAAACATACAATTTTCGTGACGTCAGTTTTTTTCAAGCACCCTTTTCAAAATGTTTTCCGGTCCACACCGGCTAAATCTTAAGACCGGCACTTTCAAATTTATCCCCTTTTATGAACGTTTTCGGAAGGTCTCGTTGGGAGGTGCTGAAAAAGGATATCAATCTGTACTCACCAGCCTGAATTTCATTTGAATCTTATTGAAACTCTCAAGTGAACAAACGGATTTGGCGACATTATTTCCATCAAAAGGTTCTGTTAAAAAATAAAAAATAAAATGATGTTAATGATAATAATAATAATAATAATAATAATAATAATAATAATAATAATAATAATAATAATTAAGCCTGAAAAAACCTAGGCTTATCGGGATTCGAATTAGTTAGAGCGCTGCAACGGTATCGCAGAGGTTAGGGTTCGAAGCCCGGAAAGCCGGAATTTTTTTAGGCTTTCTTTTCGCAACGGTATTAGTTGCTTATACAACTGCGATGATCTTCTCTGGATTTATTTTTTTATCCAGCAGTTCAAATTATATGAAATTCATATATTCATTATTACAATACCCAGCAAATTAACAAAAAAAAAGATTAAAAAGAGAACAACCGGGGCTTGAAATAACGGTAAATCCTTGGTTTTTGATGGCCCATCAGGTCTCCAGTCAGGGACCAGTCAGGGACCAGTCAGGGAAGATTTGATTTTAAGACAGACCGGGAGTTGCTGAAAAATATCTGGCAGTCAAAAATCGAAAACTTCCAAATCGTCCACCATAAAGTTGCGACTTGCGTAAAAAATCGCTACTGCCACGATAAAACCATCGTTCAAACATTCCAATCCGACTCTGAATGAAATCCTATGACCATCTAAATCAAACCTCTTCAGTAACACCTTGTAAATGGTACCGTTTGTTTCTCAATATTTCCAAAATGCAATTTGGACTGCTGAAGTTTGCAACTCTTGATAGTAAAAGGACAAAAGAAAAAAGCCTCAGGTTCAAGTATACCTTCTATACAAATATGCTTTCTTTGCCACATTCTCTGATATCTGGGATACGCAGCACCCTTTGCAACAGAAATATATTCTTGATCCCAGCTGAAAACAACATAACAGTTAATATCATCGGTGTTACATGTACAACCAATGCGTCCAAGCACCTTGTCACATTGGGGTAAAGGACATATATGAATACGCCACTTGCTCATCTCTCATAATGCACCTTATTCCGCCCCAACATTTTGCATAAGTATTGTTTTCAATTTCTCTTGGGACGGCTGTAATACCCAGGAGAAATGAAAAACAAAGGTTATGCAAAATGTTGGGGCGCAAATAAGGTGCATTATGGGGGATGTGCGAGTGGCGTATTCCCATCGCCCACCCAAGTCCAATCAGTTAAAGCTGGTTTTAATTAGCAAGGCCAGCATGATGGAAGTAACAAGCTAAACAAAAAAATCTTGGATTATCAAGGGCGCCAAAAGAGATTCACCGCCAGTTTACAAACCGAGGAGGTATGGGTATGAGGCCGTTTAATATGGGATTATCAACACAAGATCTACATAACTAAAAAGAGCACACCGAGTTTGGCAAAATCCCCCCGTTAAATGAGAAAATACTGAAGAAAATAATGCAACTCAAAAACGTGAAAATTTACAAAGGAATGTATGGATTACCCGACGTGTTTTCCGTACGTCCATATACAGTGAAACCTGTATTAAGCGGACACCCTTGGGAAATGTTGTAGTGTTCGCTTAATACAGGGTGTCCACCTAAGGACCTGTTCACATGGAGGTGGGCTACCCCTGATAGGTGAGTTAACCCGCTTAGGTGAGGTAACCCGCCAGTCCACATAATCTCTCATTTTAATGTGATCACGTTTGTATGTTGGGTGGGGTAACCCGCCCCATGTTACCTCACCTACCTGGGGTCCCCCACCTTCATACAAACAGGCTCTAATACAGGTTTCGATGGATAACGTCATATGAGGTGTCAAATGCCATTCAAATGAACAGTGGAAACGTTTAGAATACTTCCAGACTATGACGATATACGTTTGAATTAATTTTTTTATTAAAGAGGACCAATTGATCAAAGTAACAAAGACATAGATTGCAACTCAAATTTAAAGAACTCAGACAAGCGAAACAAGCTCTATACAAAAAATACTGTACTGTGAAACTAATCAAATAAGTTCGGCAAGTCACGTTTTTTAATGTAAAAATCGACAAACTTTTCGCACTTCCTGTGTCTGGCATGTTGGGTCTGTCCGTTTCATACAGGTTGGCAACAATTGAAATGACCATTTCAGGTACTTTTTAGGTGTCCGTGTCCGCTTAATAGGGGTGTCCGCTTAATAAAGGTTTTAGTTAAAGTAAATAAGGGAAATAAATTGGGGCACTTCGGCTACTGACCGCTTAATAGAGGGTGTCCTCTTAATACAGGTTTCACTCTAATTCTTAGTAAAGTTTGGAGATTTTGAATGACTTTACCTCGTTCATTTTTTGCCCCCTTAACACCAAACTTGAGGCTTTTCTAAAGCTCAGTGAGCTCTCCCTCACTATTTAGCTGCTGTTTTGCTAATCCCATAATATTTGGACTAGTAACCAGTCCTTCACGGTTTGTAACCAGGCAAAAGGTTAAGAGCTTTTGGGCTCACTACAGTTATTCTTTGAGAACAGTCTTGCAGTAAGTCTCTGAACTCTGACGCAAGCACAAGCACTATCACAAGAAATGAACAAAACAAAACAATTCTTGCAGCGTGTGCTTGCCTATAGGTCGTTTTCACTGTAAAAAAAGTGAGGACTTCAATGTTTTCACTACCGCTGGCGTCGCAACATGCAGTTCCCAAAATGAACACGTTGGAAGGTATCTGATTTGTAAACTAACAATATTTTAAACGTTTGAATTGTGAATGCTTCAAATTAAATGTTTGAAAAAGTTCATACCTATAATCCACTGCATAGTACTTGAAAAATCCTATAAAAAGCTCTCCTAAAGACTGCTTGTTTTCAGACCTAAGAGGAGAATACAAAATAATGCAATATACTGATGAGGATTTTTGCAGCAACAAGAATTGATTAGCACAAACTACAGTTCATTACTGACAATGAAGGGAGGGATAAAGAGTGAAGAAAGAAAGGGGGATCACGGGAGCGTACTCACAGGGTAGACCAAGTGGGCTAAACCTTTACAGTTTTCCTGTACATAAAACAACCAGCTGAAAATCTCGTAAATGGGCATTTTGAATGAAATTTGACATTGTGGGAGATGGACCGGCAAGAAAGTATTTCCAAATCAGATGGAGCGATCAAAAAGAGCAGAAAAAATACATCAACTCAGCCGACAGCCCATACTCTAAAAAGCTTCCTAGATGGGATGTCACAAACCGTTTGACATTCTAAGTTATTACCCTGGACACAACCCCGACCTTCCGACATCTTCTGATGACTGAAATACGTAACAATGTTCACCCATCCTCTTCGTATCTCGTGACCATAAGTCCTGGAATACAATATTATTTTGGGATAATAACTTGTTGACTTTGGACACCGCTTAAACAGAGGCAATCACCTATACTGTAATACAAGCCCAAAAACAGAGCTAAAGCATCTAATCTGGACTTACTTGTTTCCGCTGATGTGTTTAAATGGATCCTCAAGTTCTGACACATCTCCATGATACTTGAACACTTTCTACAGACATTGAATGTTAAACAATGATGTCAAACGGTACATATTAGAGAGCTTTAGGTTTAAGGACGAGAACGAGTACCAGATTTAACTTAAAGTTTTTGCGCGTGTTCTAAAAAAAAGACACTCCGGAAAACTTCATTTTACCTTTTTTTTTAACCAAAAAAGTTAGTACGGTTATTTATACTGAAGGAGGTTAAGCCCTCTCCCGATAGCAAAATGATAAAACTTCTTACATTTGATAACTTGTTCCCGCCACTACGACATTCGCGCTAAATCTCGGAGTAGAATGACGACGGCCATCTCCGGTTTCCCGCCAAAATAACGTTGGTTCACGCATGAGCAATGCTCAGTATTGAGAAAATTTCGTACTCGTAGTCGTCCTCGTCTCAGACTCTAAAGCTCTCCATTATACTCCCTGGACAACAGTCCAAGACACAGACCGCAAGCTACACTGCAGGCCATGATTCCTTACACCTGATGCCTGAGGACTACACTGTAATGCTCCTTAGACTGTACTAGAACAACAGAGACCTTTAGATACCACGACGAGGACAACTGCGAGTACGAGATTTGACTTTAAGTTTTTTCGCGTATTCTGAAAATATAGACACCCCGGAAAGGTTCATTTTACCATTTTTCACTAGAAAAGTTAGCACTGTTATCTTTAGTGAAGGAGGTTACACCCTCTCCTGATCGCAAAATGATAAAACTTATAACATTTGATAACTTGTTTCCGCTACTTCGACATTCTCGCTAAAACTCATAGTAGAGTGACGACAGCTACCTTGTTTTCCCGCCAAAATGACGCTGGTTCACGCGCGAGCACTATTTATCTCTAAGAAAATCTCGTACTCGCTGTTGTACTCGTCTTAGAATCTAAAGGTCTCTAATAAAATCATAAGAAATCCGGCATATGTTGTAGGTTTATGAATGCAGAACAGAGAACACTAGACCAAGATAAAACATTTTAAAGTGCACTGCTTATGACTTACTGGATATTGCCTTTGCAAGACAGGAACAACAGCGGGTTTGCAAACACCTGGAAACATAGATTACAACAATAATAATTATTATAATTTATTTATCTATATTTTGGCCACAAAGTAAATCCTTCAAGGACTAAACTAGTCTGGCCAAGATTGCTTCATTCTGCTGCATATCCTTGCAAAAATAAAAAAAGACGAGAGAGAGAGAGAGAGAAATCTGTCTGCTTCTATTTTACCTTGTAGGTAATGAATGACCATCAGGGTAAGAGCATAACTAGAAAGTGTTCCTTGGCTTGCATCATTAATGCCATGCGTTTTGGCCCATTTCTTAACTAACATGACTATGGGCTTGACACGAGAATCCACTAAAAATGAGAAAAAAGGAGACAGAGAAAAATATGTAACGCATCATGATTTAACCAACCTGTGATAAAGAAAAAAAAAGAGTCCATAAAATAAATAATCATCGTCATAGCCATGTGTTATCTTAATGATAAAAACATACTTTATTGGGTGAACACAAATTACTGTTAAAACATTGGTTTCACAATGTGGCCCTTTTTGAAAGACTGCACGCCTCGCACAGTGTTAATGAGTTTTTGTGATACAGTGTTTCAACAGTCAATGAGCTGTACTGTTAAGATCATAAGTACTGATGGAACTCTTACCAACACAGTAAGCTCGGAGTAAATGAGTATTCCTGACACCCTGAAATAAAGTAAGAGGCAAAGATAATTAAAACAAAATTCTCAAATCTGATTGGCTATCAACCGCCCTAATTTCAGAACTAATAGGACAGTGTAATAGGACAGTACGCAAAATGCCTAAGTAATTGGACAGTACGCACCATCGGACGCGCGCACTTGAATGGCTTTTTTTCCACTTCTAGAAAAAACTCTCGTAATTTCTTGGGTTTTAATATTTAAAAAAAAAAGAACAAATGTCACAAATTTTGTCATAGTTATGATTAATTGGTAACAGAACTTCGTGTCGTCCAATTTGGTCTGTAATCATACTCGTAATTAAACAAATCGGACTCTCGCTACGCGGTCGTCCGATTTTTTCAATCAATCATACGATTACAGACCTAATGTTCAAAGCCGGGGTAAGTTAACCAGGGTTGGCGCGAAATTTGATTTCAGATATGAAACCTTAAAAAGCAAATTCTGTTTTATTCTTTTTGCCTACAATTTGATGATTGGATGGTCTAAGAAGAAAAGAGGAAATTATTCGGGAAAACGCTTTTAAACAAAAGAATAAAAACAAATGTCCACATTTAATTTTTGGATCTGTATTAGAAACAAAAGCTTCATGGCCTCATGGAAACACACATCATAAAATAATCAAATTGGAAAAATCAATCAAAAGGAAAGGAGCACATCAGGTAACACATACCACAGTATTGTTGATGTTAATGTCACACTCACAGCCGCTAGACAAAGAGGAGCAACAAAAAATATGAGAAATTTTTCTATATGTATTAATAACGAGATGTCTACTACAAGGTAAATAGCCAGCAGAATGAAAGAAGCAGGGTTGTGCAAGGACTCGCATCAAACCAATGTGGCTTAGTTTCCAAGTTCCAGGGTCATTGAGGTTGGTTCTCTTCTCTGGGTAAGTAATCTGTTATACATGTACCCCTTTTCTTAGATTTCCACTTAGATCACTGATCTGGAAAGTGTCTCTCCTGTGGATATTTACTAGTAGAGGGTCACAGGTTTATCAATTCTTGGGATGTTATTGACTGTCAAGTGTTGCCCACTCTAAATATCATGAGCTTGTTAGTTTTGTACCTGTCCGTTTAACTTGTAGGGTCAACTAAACAGAGCAAAAAAAATGAAACTGGGAAACAACACAATTCACCACTTTTGAATCTCCTGTCACAGGCCTTGTTTATGCCGACCTTCAATCCACCCCAAATTGCCTGAGCACTGTCTTTAATGTCTCTTGTAACCACTGCATCACCCGGGAGAAATTGCAAAGAATGGCTATTCATTTTTTTGGGGGAGGGGGGGGAGGGAGGGGGGAGAAGGCAAGACTGGCATTTCCAGAATGCTATTACTTGTCTGGGGCAAGCGGTCAATGTGTTATTCCCACCCTGCAGTCATCACATCTTCAATTCTCATGACTCCTTTGACTGATTAACAAATAGTCCAAGATACCGAACCAATCACATTGCTCAAATTACCAGTACGCATATTGTAAGGAGAAATGAAATAAATTTATTACTGAGGGACTATGTGATAACATTTTAAAGGCTTTAAACTAACCTTATGTTGTCCACAAATTTTAAAATTGGAACAGACGCTGGTATAACTTGACATTCACTAAGGAATGCTGTAAAAATGCACAATATATTACTCTATGATTTGAACTACAGACTGCTGTAAACAACTAAACATGATTTTTATCATTAATTCTTTAGTGCACAAATGGTAGTCATAGTGGTAGTAAATTGATGCCACCATGCAAATGGCCTATTAGTAATCTACTTCATGTATCTGTTCAACAAAGTTACGACTGTCAATAATTTTTAAAGCACTTAGAGAGAGTACTTACAGTAAGTAGGGTCATTGTTTAGCAATCTCTGCAGTTGTCTTAGGACTGGTAAGGCTTCTCTTCTATTGTTTGACTATAATGAATGGTAAAAGCCAATTTAACAACGTTTCATTAATTTCAAATAATCAAAAGACTAGCAAAAACTGCACTTTTATTACATTCGGACACAATAATTACAATATTCTTTGAAGTCTATCATCAGTTTATGGTTTCATGATGTACAAATTGCACATACAATCACATCAGAAATAAATTAACACATTTCAACTAAATTATTTGATGTTTTGAGTTGATCAGGAAAAGTACCGAAGACCACCTGTAACCAGGGTGACTGGGTGCGAGTCTGTGTATTTCGAGGTTATCAAAACAAGACACATAATCAGAAAAAGTACACCACGTGTCAGAAAACCCCGACTGTTTTAGTGTTAATCAGGCCAATATTAAACAAGATACAGCCAATAAAAAGCTCAAAAGAATTTGAAAGAAATGTTTGAATCGCCAGCCATTTGTCCACTACACTGTATTTTATCTCTTTACTGCTACATGTATAACTTTCAGAAGTTTTGAATGGAAGTATTTTGTTCAAAAAGGGGCCTGATTAACAGAAAACTTCTCGATTTTGTGAAGATCAATGTGCACGTTTTAACATTTTACTTATTGTGTTCATCAAGCCAAAATCCTCAATTCCAATCTTTGGAAAAGCCAAAATCCAAAAGTCCAATGTTTGGAAAAACCAAACTCCTGAAGTCTAATGATTGTAAAACACAAACCACTAAATCAACTACTTGAAAGGCCAAAATCTAGAATTCCAATGTTTCAAAAAGCAAAATTCCAGAAGTTCACTGTCTAAAAAGGCAAAATCCTCTATTAAAATGTTTGGAAAAGAACAATTCCTAACTTCTGATGTTTGGAAAGTCAAACATCCTCAATACTAATGTTTGGAAAAGCCAAAATCCTCAATTCCCAACTTTGGAAGAGACAATTTCTAGAATTCCAAAGTTTGAAAATGCAAAAATAAAGAATTTCACTGACTAAAAACCCAAAACCTAAATTCTAAAGTTTGGAAAAGACAAAATATGAAATTCCAATGTTCAGAAGAGCACAAATCCAAAATTCTTCTGTTTGGAAAAGCCAAAATCCTCAATTCTAATGTTTGGAGAAGAACAAATCCTCAATACCAATGTTGCGAAAAGCCAAAATCCTCAATTCCAAACTTTGGAAAAGACAAATTCTAGAATTCCAAAGTTTGAAAATGCACAAATAAAGAATTTCACTGACTACAAACCCAAAACCTAAATTCCAATGTTCGGAAGAGCACAAATCCTAAATTCTTCTGTTTGGAAAAGCCAAAATCGTCAATTCCAATGATTGGAAAAGCACAAATATTAAATTCTAATATTTGGAAAAGCCAAAATCGTCAATTTTAATGTTAAGAAAAGACTAAATCGTCAATTCCAATGATTGGAAAAGCACAAATCCTTAATCCTAATGTTTGGAAAATCCAAAATCATCAATTCAAAGTTTGGAAAAGACCATATCCTCAATTCAAATGATTGGAAAAGCAAGAAATAAAAAATTCCACTGTTTGGAAAAACCAAAATCCTCAAATTGCAATGCTTGGAAAAGCACAAATCCTAAATTCTAATATTTGTAAAAGCCAACATGCTCAATTCCAATGACTGGAAAAACCAAAGTCCTGAATTCCAACATTTGGAAAACACTAGATCCACAATTTCAATGTTTGGAAAAGCACCAATCGTAAATTCTAATGTTTGAAAAAGCGAAAATCCTCAATTCCAAAGTTTGGAAAAAACTGGTACCTCAATTCCAGTGATTGGAAAAGCACAAATCCTAAATTCTATTGTCTAGAAAAGCCAACATCCCACAATTCCAATGCTTGGAAAAGACTAGATCCTCAATTCCAATGTTTGGAAAAGCACAAATCCTAAATTCTAATACTTGGAAAAGCTAAAATCCTCAATTCCAATGTTTGGAAAAGCACAAATCCTAACTTCTAATGTTTGGAAAAGTGGAAATCGTCAATTCCAATGTTTGGAAAAAAGTAGATCCTCAATTCCAATAATTGGAAAAGCACAAATCCTAAATTCTACTGTTTAAAAAAGCCAACATCCTCAATTCCAATGTTTGGAAAAGACTAGATCCTCAATTCCAATGATTGGAAAAGCACAAATCCTAAATTCTGACATTTAAAAAAGCCAACATCCTCAATTCTAATGTTTGGAAAAGACTAGATCCTCAAGTCCAATAATTGGAAAAGCACAAACTAAAAAATTCTAACGTCAGGAAAAACCAAAATCGTCAATTCCAATGTTTGGGAAAGCAGAAATCCTCAATTCCAATGTTTGGAAAAGCACAAATCCTAAATTCTAATACTTGGAAAAGCTAAAATCCTCAATTCCAATGTTTGGAAAAGCACAAATCCTAACTTCTAATATTTGGAAAAGTGAAAATCGTCAATTCCAATGTTTGGAAAAAAGTAGATGCTGAATTCCAATAATTGGAAAAGCACAAATCCTCCTCAATTCCAATGTTTGGAAAAGACTAGATCCTCAATTCCAATGATTGGAAAAGCACAAATCCTAAATTCTGACATTTAAAAAAGCCAACATCCTCAATTCCAATGTTTGGAAAAGACTAGATCCTCAAGTCCAATAATTGGAAAAGCACAAACTAAAAAATTCTAACGTTAGGAAAAACCAAAATTGTCAATTCCAATGTTTGGGAAAGCAGAAATCCTAAATTCTAATGTTTGGAAAAGCCAACATCCTGAATTCCAAGGTTTGGAAAAGACTAGATCCTCAATTCCAATGATTGGAAAAGCACAAATCCTAAATTCTAATGCCAACATCCTCAATTCCAATGTTTGGAAAAGACTAGTTCCTCTTGATTCCAATGGTTAGAAAAGCACAAAAATTAATAATAAATTCTAATGTTTGGTAAAGTATGTAGTAGTGTGTAATAGTATGTAGGAAGGAGATGGGTTTTCATCAAAAACGTTTGGGTAAAGCCTATTTCATTGACGAAATGACCGGTTTTCACCCTAAGTTTACGTGTACATTGTACAAACAAAAAAGTAATAAGGCATTCCTAAAAAGGAAGAGCGAAAAGTAGATGAAAAGGTCACGTACATGAACCTTACCTGTCTCATATGTCTTAACTGGAAACAAAAATCTGCATCACTAGAATCACTACCAAATCCATTACTTGATGAACCACAGAGATGCAGCGAACAACCTTTAAAATAAAGTGAATATGGGATAATTGCACACAAAAATTCCTTCAGACAGGTTTGTTAAATTAGCTGGAAAATATCTGGGTCATACTTGCAAATTCACCCCTAACTTACCCACTGTGCTATAAAATGATGAAACAATAATAAGTGTTAAAACTCTTCAAGTATCACTGGCTGATATGACAATAACTGTCATATCAGCCAGTGATTCGGATGTACTGCTGCCAATTATTGGCAGCAGTACATCCGAAAGATACACACTACTGTTCAGTAACTATAATTATGTGAATGAAACCTAAATGACTATAATAATATGTAAATTGACATAATTCTACATAATTATGAAAATGCATGCATTAAAATAAAAGTCTATAAATGCAGGTTACGAGCAGTGTTGAAGATCACTCCTACCCAGTACTGTAGCTTTGAAAGATTTTGAAAGGGAACCATGACAGCAGACAAGGCTTTTTACATGCAGCTAAAGATTAATGGCTTAATGTGTGTCACAGTCCAATGACACATCCCTTTATAACATAACAAAAGTAAATCGCGCGCTCTGATTGGTCAGTTATCCACTACCATTTGCCCGTGCGTGCACGCCAAGAAACTGAGCTAGTGCAGTAAAATTTAGGCAAATTCAACAAATCTCCTCTCCTGACGGTAAAATACACTGATGAAATGCACAGATGAAAAGTGGAAGTTGAAGAAAATACTAAGCTCTCGTTTTGAAGGAAAAAAGACAAATTTGCCCCGGATGAATTAATCACTGTTTTCCTCACGGCTAGAATCGGCTGAAGCAAAATCGAGCAAGCAAAGATTTAAGGTACTTTTTGTGTGTTTTTTATAGAAGAAAAAGTCTGTTTGAAATGTAAATTTTGGTCAAGCTGATGCTAAATTCAAGCAAATATTTTAGGAAACACCCTCAAATTCAAGTCAGCTTTGTTGAGAAGTTTTCATCGCATTGATGAAAAATTTTAGTTGAGTTTAAACAGGCACATTACGCTGGAATAAGCGAATTTCATTTGAGTACAGAAACATTTAGGTTTTCAAATAAATTTTTCAAAAAATAACTTCTGTGTGTATTATTTGGTTCCTCAGTGTTCATTCATAACAGTCGTCCAGAGAACGGTCGAAAAACAACAGCTTCAGCGCTGGCTGTGTGTCGGCGAATTTTAGTTGCAACTTTGACTTTCATAGCTGGATTTCCCCAGACAGATTTCGATACAAAGCTAGTTAATTTCTTTTTAAAATTAGTGTTACCTGTCATTCTAAAGGAATTACAGTCAAATTTTCTCATAGAACATAATTTGTTTACGCGCGGGCAGATGGTAGCATACATGAACTCGTACCGATGACTCAACCCAAGGGAAATGGAAAATAATGTTTTTCTCTTTGGAATATGTTATAAAAGAAATGGTAAATGTTGCAGCTGTGCAACCATGGAGTTATGGATGCACTTGGGAGGTTTGCTAAGCACTCAAGAAGCTAGAGTCGCTTACGCTTCTTTCATGCTTAGCAACCTGCCACGTGCATGCATAACTCCATGGTTGCACGCTGCACGTTTACCATTTCTTAATTGAAACCTGAGATAAGGTTTCTTTTCACCTTTATATTGATCAGAATTTTTTTTAAATTTCATTTCCACTTCACATGTGTTTCTTTTGCACGGTCAATATAGAAGTATAATACATGAAAATGAGCACCAAATCCCTACTACCCTTAACAAAGCCTTTGACAAAATAGGGCTAGATAGGGCTAAAGGTGGAGGGTATCTGCCCTGAACACCTAGTTACCTGGATAAATTGGGGACAAAGTCTCTTCTAAAAATGATTTTAACCTCAGTTTCTTTTCTAAAGTTGTTGTGGTTTGTAAGCACTTCTTACATTCCTCTTCTATTTCTACAGAAAGCTGAAACAATAAGAATAACAAACAATAAGAATACAGTAATTTATCACTGGCAAGAAAAACTCACAATGCATGCGTTCCAGGAGGGTTCCAGGAAATCCTGGACAGGTAGAGAAAAAAAAGCTTGATTTATAGCTTTCCTTGCAGAAAGAATTCATTCAATTCACATCAGCATGCAAAGAAAGTGGTGTCCGATAGCTCGGGGCTAGTGGATTTTGTTACTGGGCTAGTGAATTCTGTTCTCAACTTGCCCAAAGGGCAGGAAAAGTTTTTTGGTGAATTCACTGTAATCAATCCTGCTCATCAAAAAAATTTTTCCGGCTATATAAAGTGACTCTTAGGCTAGCTACAGCCTGCCCAAATGGCAAGCTGCAAAACTGACTTTCTTTGCACCCTGCACCTTTTTTAATGCAGAAAACATAATATCTTTAATAATCATGACTGAAATTATGCCTTGTTTTGCTCCTGTAAAAACCTGACTTTGTACTGATTTTACAAATTAATTTTGTAAAAAATGTCTGGAGGATTACCTCATCCAGAGGATACGCCTGACGACCCACCAGAAATGGCTGAACTCAGGCTACAAGTAATGTCCAAGACAGTATTGTACTGTAGATTGAACAATTATTTATTTATATTTTTTTATTATATTTGCCACGCAATAATTACAAAAAATAAAGGAAAAGTGAGAAGAAAATAAGTGGCAAGGAGACCTAACAGAAACTATAAGAGCTTATGAGAGGTTAGGCCTCCTTGAACTATGGATTAGAGCTGTTTAACATCAAGTAAGGAAAAGATGGCGAAAAGTCCAAGATGGAAAGATTTTTGAACTGTTTTCATATTTACTCAATAACTTAATCTTCAGTTTTTTCTTACAAGAGGAAAGGGAGGGAGAGTTGACGACCTCATTATCAAGTGAATTAAAAACCTTAGGCCCTTGAAAAAAGGGTGAGAACTTCTTAAGTGTTTTACAGTAGAAGGTAGGCCTGAGAATTTCTTGTGTTGTAAGAATGGAATTGATTGCTTTGGGAGAAATTGTTATTAAACCTTGGAGGTAAGAATGAATTTTTGCAAGAATACATAAATTGGCCCAGTTAAAGCAAATGGATATCATTAAATTTCAGTATACCAAGGTCCTTAAAGATGGGGTTTGTATGAGCATTGAAATGTGGTTTATTAATAATTCTAATAATGCACAATGATCAGTGAGTGTTGTGAATAGGACAGTGACTGAGATTTCAACAAACTCTGTGGAGGTCATCTGATTATTGTTTTTCCACAGGTTAACACCACTGTCTTGGCTGGAGAGAGTGAACACCATTTTCAGGCCTACTGTACATGTACCTCTTTTCAGAAAGGGCATACATCTGGCCATGTAACCATTTAAGTCAGAAATTGCGGAAGGTGTTGAGATAGAAATTGTGTTGACTATTTATTTATTTTTTTAATTAGTACCCTAATTTTCAGCTTCAAAACAACATAGTCTTCAATTTTTTTATCTGTCTGACAGCCTCAGGGTTTGAAATTGACTTTTATGTCCAGTTGTCCCTGGGGCAACCACAAGACTTGGTTTGGTTGCCCATTGAATATTTTGGTTGTCCAAGTCAACCTCTTAGCCCAGCTCAATCCAAGAGTAGTACAGTAAAACACTGGGGTAGCTTAAGTTAATAACAGTTTATCAGTTTTTCACAATAAAATGCGCCTCATTTCTTTCATGTGTTTTTCTTTTATCTTTCTGGCAAAAACTGTTGTTGCCTGTTTGGCTTCCAAATGAGGGTTTATATTTCGAAAACCATCTGTAATAACAACAAAACATAGCATTTTCTTTTGTAACAAATTGCAGCCACAATTGCATACAAGACATCCTCACTTGGAAGTAATACGCGAAAAGAACAGGACATGTGACGGAGACTCTCTCAAGCACCCTGTTCTTTTTTGCACCCATTACATGTGCTAAAGAGTCCTCAACGACTCTTAAAATGTCTGATAATATTACTCGTTCCTCTACCCTGCTGTAGCTTCATCTATGGATTCCAAATTGAAGTAGTAAACAAGGCTTGTACATTTTGCTTCTTATAACTGTACAAAGAAACAACAGGCTGTAACATATTTTATATATTAACTGCTGGTTAAAGCATCACATGCTCATTGGGGCCAAACATTGAATTCAGAGTCTACTATGTGTTTGTTTTAATTTCGTCTAACTTTTACATGTAGGTATCATAATCCCTTCCAAGGCAAAAAAGCTGCAATATTTATTTCTCTTTAGGGACTAATGACTCAGCACAAATTGGTTATCACATTGATATTGGTTGTTCAGGACAACTAGACAACTGTTAATTTCACACCCTGCTGACAGCAAGTGTAGCATTTTGTCATGACAGGGTAATTTCTAGTCAGACATTGTCCAATGACCAGGGTTCTCATTAAGTCTTACCTTACCTTTTATCACCAAAGGGTAGGTGGTGCAAACATCATTCAGTAGCCATTATTTTAGCTGGCTGACGGCACTTAATGAGAACCCAGTGATTGACTGACTGCTATTTGAAGGTCTAATTGCTGCACTCTAACCCTGTATCAAAATACTGCAGTCTAAATAAGAAATCAAACTGAAGTCAACTTTCAAAAACAATGAAAACAATACTTTTCAAAAACATTTGGGATGCAACTTACCGTGTTGGGAGTGAAAACAGGTGGCTCTGCATCAAAAGGATGAAATCTCAAGAACCTAGCAGTATTTGTTGCAGAATTGGAGTAACTTCTTTTGGCTTTTTTAGCCTCTACAGGAATATCATCCTGGGATCCAGGTGTCATATTGGAGTGATGCCGCCGCTTGGGTGGTCTCTTCAAGTGTAATTCACTGTTATCATACAATGCATCACCACTACTTACACTCAAAGTCCTTTGAACATTCACTTTTAATGAAGTTTCATGTTCTGAGCTAGGTTTTCCACTGGTTGTTGGTGATTTAGCAGTGGATGAGCTTTCAGTAAAGTGTTTTGATTGATTATTGTGGTTCTTTCGTCTTTGAATTAAATGCATGTCCACTGGTTTAGGGAACCGTCTCTTTCGTGGTGAGAAAAAAACATCATCATCAGGTACTGGAAGATATCTGCTGACATCTGTTGATGTTAAATGTTTAGCTTGATTTTTGTTCTTCGGTTTGTGAACTGAAGGTAAGTCGACTGGTTTAGGGTATCGTCTCTTGAGTGGCGAGAAAACAGTATCTATGCCAGGTTCAGGTAAGTATCTGTTGATATCACTAAACACTGGTGCTACAACTGAAGGACTGTAGTTGGAAAAATACATTCTTTCATACTCGCCGGCCATCTCTCTGGTCACATTCTTTACCTAACAAATAATAAAAAAAGAATCACTTATTCAATACATGAAGAACTGCCAATGTTTTTCGTTTTTTGAGGGGAGGCGAGGAGGGGGGGAATTATTAATTTCTATTCAGCAAATGTCCCATTAATTATTTCTAAGTGGTGGTGCAGATGTTCCTCTCTGGGAAACTTATAGAATGGGCGAATCCTTGCTGATATTAAACAATAATTGCATTCGGTTTTTGTGATATCCGGAATAATCAACCGTCGAGGTAAGCGTTAACAGTTGAGCAGAAGACCAAGGCTGTAACACTTACCGAGACCTTGATTATTTAGGATATCACAAAAACCGAATCTATAAATTGAAATCATGCAGATGCGTGCGCAACCTACAGATTTGTCAGTAATCTGCTAGCAGATAACTAACTAATCTGTAGGTTGTGCTGATTTTAAAAAAAGATGCTTGGGCAGACAGTTAATCTGAAGACAGACTCCAAAACTCTGTATTACAGTATACTGAAATTAAAATCAAGTCCGAGTGGGCCGGATATTTCTACAAATACACATGTTCAGATCAATCGATCGATCTTTGCATCCTACGGCACGCATGCCATGAATTATTTTGCATATTTGGGGATTTTTATGCCTCAGGGTCGCAGGATGCAGAGGTAACAAATCACTGAGTAGCAAAATGATTCTTTTTGGTCATATTTTTGAAGAGTAACCACAGTAAAATGATGTTATGAAACAAAAACAATTCACAAATTGAACACAACAGTGTGGTATTCTGTCGTAAGAATGCGCCTCAATGCATCTTCAACCTTTCGTTTGGTGTATTGGACCAAAATTTTGTTTTGTCCAACCAAGATGGTGTCTTGGTGGGGGCATCTGTCCTTTCAAGAGAAAAAAATTATTTGCAGCCCTGCAATTATGGACAATGGTTGGGTTGGGAAGTTTGTATAAATTAACATCACCAAGAAGCGAAAAAAGGCAAAAATGTGGTAACCTTCTAAAGCTTTTGACTTCACGACTGTTGATGTTGCTTAAACACACTACATGTAAATGTAGTTTCATTTAAGCATCGGTGTCGACAAAAATTAAACCCTGAATTAGATTGGGCTAGGAGCAGTTTCATAAATAATAGGCACGCAAATTTTTCATAGGTTTCCCTTTTCCTGATGATCGTCAGTGGCAACGAGATTCGATTACGAAATACCCTCCGCAAATGGTAGTTCGCAACGAACTAAATTCAAAACGGTATTGTGTTTTTAGGACAGGCGAGTTTGTGGCTACGCTGTAGTAACAGGTTTTATTTTTAGCTACAATGTAAATTCAAGTAAAATACCTTGTTGAGAAAACATTCCGTATTATAACTTACGACCGGGGTTTAATACAACTAGGCGTGAAATGAGCCACAATTGTTTAGCAATTTAATCGCGAAGAAAAAAGCAATATATGTTCGTAAAGATGACTCATAGGTAACCTTGCACAAATACAACAGCTCGACCACATTTCAAAACACACACAACGATAAGTAGTTGAAAATTTGTTACCTCAAAGCTTCATGAAATCCATTCGATAAACACAAACAACGAAGCAAACAAGCGCCATTACTCCAGCACCACGCGCGTGGGTTTGGATGGAAAACTGCTGACCAAAACGCACGGAAGTTCCAGAATAATATTGACAACTCTAAGGCCCAGTTCAGACGTCGTGCTTCTGCCGTGCCGAACTAAATTCAGGAATTAAGTTCGACAAAAGCACGGCAGAAGCACGGCGTCTGAATCAAACTTTTGAATTAAGTTCGGCAAGCAATTAAGTTCGACAAGCGCTGCCGTGCTACACGGCTCTGGCACGGCAGCGATTCAAACGTCGTGCTTCTGCCGCGCTAAACAAAATTCATAAATCATATTAATGAATTTTGGCGAGATTGCGTTCCCACGGGGAGTTGGGAGAAGAATTGTTACGAGGCATCAGCAAATCCTGAATTTGGTTCGACTCTGGCACGACGTCTGAATCAAAGTTGTTTTCCTGCCGTGCTACAGTCGAACCAAATTACAATTAAGTTCGGCACGGCAGAAGCACGACGTCTGAACTGGGCCTAACACTCAGTTACTTGCACTATATGGTAAAATCTAGAAATATTGTGGAAATTGATAATCAAGATCAATGTAGTATTCCATTAGTCCAAAAATTCGCAGTCGAAGAGATTTGTCACAAACTTCGGCGAAATTTATCACGACTTCTTCCGGAATATGAAAAATCTGCAGCAATCTTGGGATTGGTGGCACGTTCTCAGTTCCTCCACATGAGAGGGGCAGAAAATTGGGACTTGAGAAAGGCTAACTTAGATACCAGCCTAGGCGTGACTCGACTCCCTCGTCCTGAGACGACCAGAATCAGGAGCCAAGAAATCAGTGGGAAATGTTTCTCGTCCGGATCTAATCAAAAAAAGAGGGTGGGCGGGCGCTTTTATTTTTTCGTTATTTCCCACTTTTTTATCATTATTTCCAATTATCAAATTATCCTCCCTCAGGGACAAGCTGGAGGTTTTAGTCCGAATCACCGCAGCTAAAACTTGTAAAACGTCAGACATTCATTTATCATCAATTTGGTTAGCCAGCGCAGCAAGCGTTTCCGTGCGGTTTAGGAGCAAAGAACGAGGAACAAGAGTCAAAGACCGGGCGAAAAATGGTTCTCGTTTAATTTCTCACGCGATCAAACCGAAAATACCCTTCCACGGTCTTTTTTTGCTCCGAAACCAAACGGAAACGCTTGCTACGCAGGCTACAATTTGGTAAAAATAATTGATGCATCATACGATACGATGGTACGGTACGTTAAAAACGTCAAGAGGACTCAGTATTTAAATAAAATGTTTCGTTTTTCTATTTATCCTGCCTTTAATTAAGCTCGCGTATTTTTCTATATTCACTTCTAACCCTTTCGTTTCATACACTAGCTAGATTACAGTGAACTTACGTTTTTCAGCAGCGTACGTCAACCGGAAGTGAACTTTTCTCATTCTTGAGTGGTATTTTTGCCCAAATTTTTGAACCAATCGTCTCTATAATAAGTAAGAGACTAAGAAATACAAATTTGGTATAATTTTAAAATGAAAAAGATTTCACCCCCACTCACATATACAACGTGTTGAGTATACAAACAATAAAGTACATGAACACTACTGTCATCGACTTGACTACTATAGTTGCGCAGTCTGCGATCAACTGAAAACTAAAAAAGGATGCGTTGCGTCTTGTGTTTGATAGCTTTGATAAGTTTATTTGTGCCAAATTTCATTATGGGATGTTTTAGGGGGAAAATATCTGGGGACGAGGTTGTAAAACGGCCATAAATTCAGTCGATAGCCGTAAAAATTGAAAAATTTTAACTGTTAGCCGTAAATAGGGTAAAAAGAGTTAACCGTAAAAGAAATTTTTCCCTAGATTTGTTGATTTTAAGGAAGGCCTAAACTCCCTTATGACTGATTGCGTTTCTTATTTCGCGGCTACTTTGACTCCTAACGCTCTCTCCTCCGCAGAGGCCTCTTTGTGTCGCGGGGAGGCTGGGAGAAAAAAAAAGAAAGCGCGCGGGGCACGAGTCTTGCTTGACCTCACTTGGCCTGCGTTTTGTAGGATGAGTTGACAGCGCTTTGTCTTAATTAGATCTCCGATTTCGCCATCCGGTGTACATATTGAAAGCCGGTTATTAGTATTTTGCTGCGAGTGAAGAAAGGCCAATCGAAAGATACAAGGCAAGACACTAGGAGCATCGGACACTTTTAACATTCAAGAAAAATGTTTCAGGAAAAACATTATTGACCTGGTCCTGGTCAAAGCATTTCGGTGGCCTATCCGAGACAAAACTCGCTCGGACCACGTGACCCGAAATGCATTGGCCACGCAGTCCTTTGCTATCGTAAAAACAAACAGCTCGTTATTAAGGACAGTTTGCTTTGTCCCTGGGGAAAGACAGCCCTTACATTTTCTCAAAATTGATCCCGAGATGATCCTGAGATCTTTATTTTGCTTTAAAGATACAAAAACAGAGGTTTATTAAGATTTAACTCTTTGAAACAAAAGAATTTAATTTTTAACTTTTTTGTTAACAGTAACTGAAAAAAATTAACCGATAGCAGTAAAAGAGCCAAAATTTTAGCCGATAACCGTAAAAGCCACTACCCCATTGAGACCCTCTTCAATTAGAACAATTATTGCAATAAAACCTGCAATCATGAAATAATTTTGGTTAATTCCCTGACTCTAATTGGTTCATTTGCTTTTTCGCTTGTCTTACAAATTCTCGATCATAATAAACAAAGAATCGAATACCCTCCCACTTCAGTTTCAAGGCATGTAAACTGCATTTATTTGATAGCGAGCTTAAAAAGGAATGTTGGGTGCAACTGAAACTCTCATTGGGACAATCGTCAAAGTGTGTAGGGAGGATACTATTTTTTACCTCTTTTTTCCTTATTTCCTCAGTGTTTCCTCTGCCCCTTGCCCAATGTAGACTGCAAAACAGTCACGTTATTTTTGCGTATTCAAGTACGCCGCGCAAGCAGTCAAAAAAAAGGTCCAGAGCCAGGATAAACGCGGAGGGCGAGACTGGGGAGAAAAGCTAAAACTACCGCTAAACCGATTTTAAGAAAAAACAAACCCGACTTGTTTGCAGTCTATGCTGTACGAATGTTTTACAAAACTAAAGTGTTTGTGCCCCAAATTGTTTTGTTATATCCAAAAACTTCCAAACTTCTTTTGTTCGGGATTATTGCAGGTTACAAAGTGAAAATGTCAAAGCGCACAAGCCGCACTAAAGAAACTTGGAATAATTATGCGTATCTGGAGTTTCGTGTGGATTTCGTCTTAAATCGGCCGTAATATAAATTTCAACTCGACGAAAAGCCTCAAAGAGCCTTTCTTGTAACCCCCTTTGAGAAGGTATCTAGGAGAGCAAGGGTGGCACATTCCTGAGACAAAATGTGGGGACAGGCGGCCTTCACCAATTTCCATCGTCACTGCTAAGTCTTTTTCTGCAGTATTTCTCTTAAGCGCGAAACTCAAGAAGCAAGTCTGTTAAGAGGCGTTGTCAACTTTCCGTCGCACGTTATTGCACACATTAGCAGAGGCGGATCCAGAAAATTCAGAAAGGGGTGGCCGGGACAATAGCCTACTAGACACTTTTTATTTTGCTGAGAATTCTATAAAAACACAATTCTATATTTCAAAGAAAAAGCGGTGACCGAGGCCCTCGAGGCCACCCTTAAATCTGCCCTTGATTAGGAGACATTGAATACAAGGAACAAAGCATTTACCAACACTGTTGTTTATTTGGACAAAACATAATCCACTTGAGTTATTAACAAAGGGAATAGCATTTTCTTTTTTGAGAAATATGTACGTCTGTTACCACTGGTTACTACTGGAAAAAGCTAAGTAAAAATAAGCTTGTAGTTAAAAAATTGTGAACCAATCAGGCTGTCCTCGCTATTGAACAGATAACAACCCATTCAAAAAAAAACACTTTCAAAGATGTATCTAAGTATTGAACAGAGTTTGAAGATAAATAATTGCAAATTAGTAATAATGTGAGCTTAAAATGTACCAGAATTTTTTTCCATAATAATAAACTGTGCATTTTTTTTAGTCAATCTATAGCGAAAGATTCCTAACGACGAGGAGCGAGGAAAGCTGGTTGTAATCGCACACTAGATTATTTCATTTATGCTCAAATAACTGGATTCGGTGGTTAGAAGAATCACACACAACTATTCCTCCATCATTAAGATTTGCTGTAGAAACTGGATTGTTCAACTCTCCTCTCCCGCTACCTTCACGTCCAAATTTTGTAACAAACTTTCCACTCAGTTCAAATACCTGAACTCTGTCATTTCCTGCATCACAGACCATCAACAATCCTTCTTTGTTAACAGACAAGTAACAAGGCCCACTGAACCCTCCATCCTTCTTACCCCGTTTTCCGAATCTAGCAGCAAATTTTCCCTCAAGATTAAACATTTTAATGGAATGATCACTATAATCTGAGACTATAAAATATTGACCTTGTTGAATACAGTGATAGGGATTGACCAAAGAACCTGCTTCACCAAATTTACGTAAAAATTTTCCACTAGAAGAGAATATCTTGATTAATTTGTTACCTCTATCAGCAACAATAATATCACCGTTGCCGTTTATTGATAAACCTTCAGGACAACTAAGCTGATGATCACGACCTCCTTCTTCCCCAAACTTGCTAAGAAACTTACCATTCCTATCAAAGACTTGCACCCTGTCATTATCGCAGTCTGCCACTACAATGTTGCCATGACTATCAAAAGCGATCCCTTCAGGGCCCTGGAACTCACCATTATTCTCACCCTCCCTACCAAATGATCTTAAGTGGGTACCGTCACTACTAAACACTGAGACCCTGTTGTTGAACCAATCAGTCACAGCAATTTCCTGATCATTCACTGCCACCCCAGAAGGATAGTTAAGCATTCCAACAGGCTCACCTTGTCGTCCAAATGACAGCACAGATCTGAATCGTCTGGTTTGTACTTGAGCCTCAAGAGGACTGCTGTCACCAACCTTTGCCCCCTTATTCCCCGCAATTACTTTGCTACTTTCTTTACCTTTAGTTCTTGATTGTTGCGCTTTAGTTTCGCTTGAAACTATTTTCATATTACCTATCCCTTCACTTTTCAACACGTTAATCAGTTTTTCACTTTTAGTGAAACTAAACCGAGGGATACATTCAACGTCACGGTTTCCTTGGGTGCCCTGTTCCTGAAGGACTGCATCAAATGTTTCACTGAATCCAAGGATTTCAGTACTAAAGCTTCGTTTCACAAGAGCTTTAGTTTGTTCAATTGCCGATTCAATTAATTCCACTTGATTTTGAACTTCATCTTTTTTCTGTGAGAGAGATTTAAGTGATTTTTTCGCTTGATTATCGACTGCATCAAAAACGTCCTGTTTCCTCTCCTCGATGATTGCAATAACTTGATCTACATGTGCCTGCACTTGGCTTTTAAAGTCGGCAACTTGCAGTGTAATGTCCGTGCGCTTTTGGTTCAATTGCTCGAGGTCTTTTCGTTTTTCTTGTGCTTTTTCTATTAAAGATTGAGTCATAGAGTTGATCTGAGTCTTGCGCGCGTCTGTAGCTTCTTCCAAAAGCATCTTTCCGTGACCTTCATGAAGTGTTACAACACAAGTGTTGCAACTGGCGACTTTACAGTCCTTACAAAAGAATTTCAACTCTTCTTTTTCATGTCGTTTCTTCTGACAAAATGCCGGTCTCTTTAACACGGCCTCGATGTCTTGATCTTTAAAATCTTTCAGTGCCAGCGTTCTGTGTTCTTTATTGATGCGTATTATGTTATGTGCTAAAATACATTCCTCGCACCAGAAAGAACAACACTGGAAGCAATATAAGGTCTGGGCGCTCCGTTTGTTGCAATTTCCGCATTTCACGTTAGCTGTACTGCACTCTTTTATTGCCAAGACATCTAGCAAACTGTTGATAGGAAAATTAGCGGGAAGTTCGCTCGGATTTCCACTTCCAGGGATTTGAAACTGTCCCCTGCACTCGGGACATGTAATTTTGTCATGAACGCCGCTCGTTCGTTGAATTCCGTTCAGGCAGTGAAGACAGAAACTGTGCAAACAAGGCAACTGCTTTGGATCAGTGAAAGTACACATACACACAGAACAGGATACTTCATCATGAAGATTGTCCAGCAAGGTCTTTATATCCATGAAGAAGATCGAAAGCAAATTAAGTTTCAAAATACTCTGAGACGTAGTCGGTTGGCCCTCTCATGATCAGAAACCGAAACAAAGAAGTGTTGTCTTTTGACCCAGACTAAAGTATAGTTTGGCAACCGATCAAATGGTGTCTTGAGTTGTTAAAGGAGAATCCAAAAATAACCTTTATTTCTGAGAAATGATAATCTGTTTACAAAGCATGAACTTTTTATAATATTAATTCATAAAACCACAGCTAGCCCAAGCTTAAAGACAGATCGAGATCGAGGAATAAAGTGAAACCCCGATAATACGGTCACCATATACCAATGGGCCAAAAAAATTGGCCGTACGTATTAACTAGGTTTTTTTTTTTACAAGAAAATATATGGCCGTTTTGCCAGGTGGCCAAAAAAAAGTAGCCGTAATAGCGAGGCGACCGTAGTACCGAGGTGGCCCTAAGGCGTGCCGTTCCACTTTACTGGGCTTACCCAATCAGGCTGCCCAACTAATTTTAAGAAATCATAATCATATGCATTCAGCAACAATTATAAGATGTTTTATGCGAATTTATTCTTTGACTATTAAAAGTGTGTAATGTACATTAAATTTCTCTTTTAAGCTTATTTTCAGCGGTTTTTCTGTGTTTATTTGTTTCTTAGATTTGTTGACCAGGACTTTAAGGCGCGTTTATATAAATGGCTTTTTTAGAAACAACGGTTTATCACTGAGATGAACGAAGAGAGAGGGAAGAATCCTGTGTCCTGTCATTTCAGTGGCAATATTTCAAAACTGTGTCGCAGTTCTCTTGAGTGACTATTCACTTCTTTTAAAAAAAATGTTCGACGCCTTTTTAGGGCGTTGTGGTGGTACACCGTCATTACAAACAACAATAACAGAAGTAAGAAATATATACATGATATGATCAACAAGTGATTAGTTTAGTGTCACTGCTTCGTCCCCAACGCTTCTTTGCAGCCTTTTGGACGCCTCCCTTAACCGACTCTTCAACATCCTCCGCTGACTCCATCGTTCGAGGGGCGACAGCGGGCAATTAAGGTGAAGCCGAACGGACAAACGCCACTATTTCTGATACTCTTGTGGATGGCACAACTCTAGAGTGCGAAAAAGTATAGGAGATTTGAAGATCTTTCAGAAGAGGAAATCAAGAGAATGTCACTTCAGTCATATAAAGGATACAAAAAGAAGCGGATTGAGAAAAATGCCTTGTATACGAATGTAGTCATGTTGCCGAGAGGATTGATGAAACCCCTGTTCTTAAAGACTACATTAAGAGTAAAGTGAGTGAACCTCCGGAGGAACTGTTCTTTTTCAATTCTGCTCATCTTGATAGATAACGGAGCGAATCAGGAAGCAACAAATTGGAATTCCCTGGTGTAAAATACCTCAGAAAGATCGAATCGTTTATGGAAGACAACTACATCCGCGGAGAGCTCTTAATGAAATTCTGTCGTGGTGCATGCCTGCAAAGAGGAGACCTCCAATCTCTGTTCTTGGTGTTCTAACAATAGATGGGTGGGACCAGAGAAAGAAAGAATTCCGCAACCTGTACCAGACCCAAACAATCGTGGACATTTCGGAAAAGACGGGCAGGACACCGGATGACTATCTTCCGAGAAAATGTTTGAGGGACTTGCATGAGGAACTATTCCGTCAGTGTCATAAACGATGGAGATTCCATCAAGAGCTTCTGTTCAAAATACAATGTTGATGAGAAGCATGCGGAACGGACATACAAGGACTTCAAATGGGACGTCACCCTTATTGAAAGTGGCAAGATCGAAAAGTTAAAGGTAAAACAACTTGACTTCTACCTGAAAGAACACGGACTGACCACTATTGGTGGGAAGCTTGACAAAGTAAAAGCTATTCGATGTCATTATTTAAGACCCATAAAGAGTCTGTGAACACAGGCGAATCGTGTGGTACCAAAGATGAAAGTGACGGGGAATCAGGGGATGGAGAATATGGGGAAGAATTTGACAGTGTGGAGGACGAGAGCGACAATGAATTTGTTTTCAACGATTTGGATGAGAAGAGTAACCCTTCACAGACAATTCAGTTCATATCAGATGACCAAATATGTGAAGAATCCAAAAATAATCATTATTTTAGTCTGCGTAGCAAGCGTTTCCAATCGAGTTATCGCGCGAAAGTTAGAGCGGGAGCGTCCCAACTTTTCTCGACGAACTCGCGCGGAAACGCTTGCTACGCAGGCTATCATTATTTCTGAGAACTGATAATCTGTTTACAAAGCATAAACTTTTTAAAATATTCATAAAACCACTGGTAACCCAGGCTTACCATCAGATCGAGATCGAGAGTACTGGGCAAATTAATCACTGACTAATTAATCATTCATATGCATTTAGCAATAATTTTAAGATGTTGTATGACAAACAATTTATTTCATTCTTTGCCTTTTAAAAGAGCGAAATAGACATTTAATCTCTTTTAAGCTTTATATCTTCTGCGTTTTTTTATGTTTGTTTTTTGTTTCTTGGTTTTGTTTCAGGCCTTTAATACGCGTTTAATTATATAAATGGCCTTTTTTGAACAACGGTTTGTCACTCAGATGAACGAAGAGAGAAGAAGAATCCCGTGTCAGAAATTAAAGTGGCAACATTTCAAACCATGTCGCAGTTCTCCAGAATGGGCACATGCACCGGCACAGAACAGTATACTTCATCATGAAGATTGTCCAGCAAGTTCCTTAAATCCATGGAAAAAATGGGAAACAAATTAAGTTTTGAAATACTCGGAGGCGTAATCGGTTGGCGTTCTAAGAAACCGCAACAAAGAGGTCTTGTCTTTTGGCCCAGACTAAACTTTATTTTGGCAACCAATGGTGCCTTGACGTGTTTTGAGTTTTGACTACCTGAGGAATCCAAAACTAATCTTTAATTCTTATAACTGATAATCTGTTTACAAAGCATAAACCTTTTCAAAATATTCATAAAACCAGAGGTAGCCCAAGCTTACACTATTCGATCGAGATCGAGAGTACTGGGAATTTAAGGGCAAATTAAGACGTACTCTTACGTATCTGACGCGAATCATCAAACGGATAACCCGTCTCTAGTGTGAAAAAAAAAAAAAAAAAAACCCGGCTATTTCTGTTACTTAATGTCGCGCCCCGGCCTTGAGTTGGGCGCACGCGTGTCTCCTTTTGCTTTTTCACTAAGATTATTTGTAATTTGACTGTTGACATTTCAATGTGTAAAATAATAGAAGTGGAATACTTGATAAAAAGTATGAACTATCAAATGTCAGAAATTTTTTAATCCGAAGACCTTTCAGTTTGCTTTAAAGATACAAAAAATACAGTTAATTAATATTTAACTCTTTGAAACAAAACATAAAGTAAATTTATAACTTTTTTGTTAACCTTAACTGAAAACAATTAACCGGTAGCCGTAAAAGAGCCAAAATTTTAGCCGATAACCGTAAAAGCCCCCACCCCAGTGAGACCCTCTACTGACGCAGGCACGTTCCCATAACGACCAAGAGAGGGGTATAATTTGAATCATGATCTGTTCGTTAAGTGTCCGCCTGAGTGAAGTTTATTACCGAAATTCCGCCCCGTCAGCTACGAAAGGTAATGATTGTGCTGTGCTTTCTCTTCCATTACCCAGAACCAAACAACGCATAATTTTAGGAAACTGATGAGGTTACAAAAAGCCCATTCGAGACAATCTCGATATGAGGAACTCTCCGTTCTTTACTTAGATCGTTCGAGTCGCCGGAGAAAAACTAATCAAAGTAAGACGGCTCGACTCCCTCTAAGACGGACACCTTCAAGACCGGCCCTGACTGTCCGTCTTAGAGAGGTGTCCGGCTTATAGAGTCGAGGTAACGTGACGCCTGTAATTTTAAGAAACTAACGTTGAACCCATTCGCAGCGTAAAATCTGTTAAACTTGTAGAAAACAGCTAAAATTGGAACATTGTGGAATTACTTTCTCATTGTGCAATCAAACGTTCATTCAGAAAGCAAACATTCACAGCTTCGTGGTCTAAAAGCGTAACAATATAAACTCTGCGAACTGAAGCAAGACTACGTAGTATAAAAATTTTACAATTTGCTGCCATGTAGAGCACCTATATTTCTGTTCTGAGAAATTTGAAAAACGGCAGGGACCAACACCTGGTGTCCATCTTACAGAGGTGTCCGTTAAGAGAGAGTTTACTGTATTTACTAACGTGGACAAACACGTCCTTGGCCTCGCTTAAGGTACGATTTACACACACTTTTGAGGTTTCCTCTGGGTACGTACTTTTAGTTCTTTGAAAAGGGGAGAGGGAGGGTATTGGTGCGATGAGCTATAGAGATGTACACGATTTCTGTACTGTAACCGAATTGAGGCAAAAGGTTTGAGTTCAATGTTTGGGTATCGGTGTAGTGCGCTATAGATGGTCCTCATGGCCAGAGATGTACACTCTTCCTTTATTGAAATCGCATTAAGGAAAACGTTTACTGCGAATTCCCCACGAAGGAGAAGATGCTTGTCAAAAACATTGACATTAACGGCTATCTATTCCTCGTTCAACCGCCCGCTCCAGTTTGTGATTGGTACAAACTTGTACACATATCAGTTAAGGAAAAGCACTGAAAAGAACTGAAACGGGACATCAGGTGGTAAAACTCAAACCAGCCACCACTCAGACTGAATTTCAAACCAAAACAGTTACAACCAAAGGTAAATGCCTCAAGTAAGTTTAATGTTATACCTCTAACAAAATGAATTACCCCATCTAAGATCACATTGAGCAGCTCGATCCCTCTTTATACTTATATCAGCGCGGCAAAGTGTCCAGTCGGAACTTCCTCTTTTCCTGGCAGAGTTTAAAACAACTCTAGTAACTCACATCCGCAATTAAAGCATGTCTTAATCCAGGTTCCCAGGAAGACACCAGTAGATTCTTTTAGCTTCAAAATAATACTTCAATAATGTGAATAGTTTAACGAGCAATGGCGCAAGCAAAATTCCGTAAATTGTTTTCCTTAAATAGCGCAAACAAGAAGAAAACAAGAAGAAAACGTGGCAGAAACCTAACTTTTTGCTTTAACGTAACTATTTGAAGCAGATGATGGTAAGCAAGGAAAGCCTCAACGCCAACACGTTTATAGTAGCAGATGCTGCAATGCAGCGGAAAGAAACAGACAAATCTAAAAGCGACAGCAACAACAACAACAACAGTAACAAAGCATAAAAATTTTTTGAAGGAAATATGGCCGGGTATTCTGTCCCGCTCTAACTAAAGATACACCTTCTATTGACTATTAATCAGCATTGGTTATACGTAGGCAGAAGTCAGGTTGGAACCGAGTGAACAACGTATACCTAAAACAAATAAAAACAAACGAATGTTTAGAAAGGAATATTTAGACTACTCTTTTAAATGCTACAAACGTAAAAAAGGCGACCCTCGCAAAGGCGATGTGGCCGTTAGAACTGTAAGTTATTTGGCAGAGCTTCCAATTGCATTTTGGTTTCCACTACTTTACGCAATTAAATTTTTTGCTGAATTTTCACATGGGCTAGTCTTGTGTGCGAGACAATTACAGGATATCGTTAAAGGATATCGATCCGTTGAAAAAGGAGGGAAGGAGCAAGCATTCGGAGAGATTCTCAAATGTCTGTTGTCAAAGACCAAAAGGTGTATACCGGAATAGACACGATTTTTTTTTTACACGACCCAACCAACGAAACTAACAACTACAAAGGTTACGATTAAAAAAAAAACTCTCTTACTTGCTTCTAAAACTGGCAAGACAGCACCGTCTTGCAGATTGTCCTTCCTTTGCCGACCTCATCAGCAATACAACCGCACTCTTTGCAGTGAGTTATATCCTTGTCGATCTGATTTCGAATGCTCTTAAACACTGCTTCCTCCTTCCTGGCTTCCGTTCTGTGCTGCTCTAGTCGGCTTGGAAGCTTCTCAAGCCATTTCAAATTCACGGTTACGCCCTGCGTCTGTTTGACGACTTCCACATACTCGTCGTTCTTAGGCAGCTTATCTGACCATTTGGTGGCCTTGTACTCGCCTTTCTTGAGGTACAGCATGTTCAAGGCGTCCACTGCAACTGCTTTTTTGTAGCTGGAAGATAAGTAGAAGAAGAAAAAAATGATTGAGTAATCACAAATCATCCAGAAAGTCGGAAATAACTTGTTAACCTTCTACAGGGCTCGGCTTTGGCCGTTTTATTGAGTCTGGCCTTGGCGCACTATCCGAACAGCGGCTGATAATCGTGTCCATCCTCGACGCAGAAATTCACGTTCCCGCTATTATACAGAGGAAAAGGTGTGAGTGAAACCAACGCTCCCCAACCCCCACTGCGTTTTGGCTTGAATTCCTAGCGGTTTGCTCTTCAAAGCAATGTTTTAATTTGCATAAAATCTAAGTTTTCAATGAAATCCATGATGACGGCAACGTTGGCAACCACTATGAATGTCGTCACAGGTCCTCAGCAGTACCATCTGCCATGATATTCATATCAAGTTCACATAGTTTCGCTCAAGTCATAAGTTCACTTTTAGCCCTTTTTTTTCAAACAAACAAAACAACTCAAACACAAAACATACCCACAAACACAAAAACACAATCACTAAGACTTAAAAAGTTATCAATAGCTACAATTTCTTCCAATGGTGAAAGACGAATTTAACCCTTTAAGCCCCAAGATCGAAATACAAATTCTCCAGACCGATCTCCATACATTTCTTTTAAAAATAGTTGAGAGAATTTGGTTTAAGATCAAAGTTTTCTCCCTTTGGTCATCAATTTAGTAATTCTCATAACCTTTACTCTTGTTGATCTGCTGATGTTGTTAGGAGAAAATTGATGTTGGACACTCCTGGGACCTAAAGGGTTAACACTGGCAACATAAGAGAGTTTTAAATTCGAGAACACGGACGACTACGAGGACGACATTTAATTCTAAGTTTTCCCGCCTGTTCTCTAGAACAGACACCCCGGAAAGCTTCATTGCACATTTTTTCACCGCCAAAGTTAGCACGCTTATTTCCGTTGAAGGAGGTTAAGCCCTCTTCCGATCGCTAAATGATAAAATTTCTGCCATTTGACAACTTGTTTTGTCTGTTTTCGCCACCACGACGTCCACCACGACAATAAAACTCGTAGTAGAATGACGACGGCCACATTTTACCGCCAAAATGGTGTTGGTTCGCGCGCGTGTACTTGACTTGGTATTGGGAAAATATCGTTCTCGCAGTCGTTCTCGCCTTAGAATGTAAAGCTCTCTATTAAAGATAAGAACCCCATAAGAATTACCAATCTTACTTTATCTACTTGCATCTCTCCTCTCCCGCAACCCTTTCACGGGTACATCATAATCAACAAACCACATTTTAATTATGACTGTATTCGTGCTGTGAAAGGTTTGAACCCAGGAGTCTTCTCATAAGTAGGAACCGGGTGTATCCGGGTGTTTTGGTGCGATGGGACTAGCGGAATGGCCATTTTTTTCTGCAAGAGGGCGGGTTGCTAACACCTTGACGCTGAGATGACTCCTTACAAATGGATTTGTTTAGAGTCATCAGAGTACCCCTATCACTGCTATTATCTCAACTCTACAATGACAAATTGATAATGAGGCATTCTTTGCCTGGTTAGCTATTGTTTTGTAGTTTTGGATATTTGTATTACGTCATTTGGTGACTGCACCCGTCCGCAACATCATGGAACCCCCACAAATCCCATAATTCCCAAATTCTCATATCGGTGACGTCACACTTCTTTCTCCATTGGCTTGATGATGTATTGTGATTGACGTTGGTCACTCTAGGGAATTAAAGGCTTAACCATCACTATCCCAGAATAAGTTAGGACGGGATGATTAGTCGCTCTAAGTTTTAAATCTGTGGACAAAATCCTTTGGTGTTACCATTCAAATGAAACTTCTTTGGCAAACTTTAAAAGATATTAGGAGCATTCTTGAATTTTTCATTGGCTACTGTTAGGAGTAAAATGGTTTTTAAATATTAAATGTTACGGTGGGACCGAACAGCCTGGCCATACAGAAAAGAAGTAATGAAGTCACAAAAGCTTAATTTGTGAAATTACGGAGTCATCTGTTGGGATACTTTGAAAAACAAGATGAAAAAATACCTTTATTCAAATGTTAGATGCTACTCACCCGAAATCACCAATGACAACAAGTTTGGCGCTAATGCTCTTCAGAGCCTCGGATACTGTAAAGTTGGTAAGGGTGCTGTGGTTAACACGGGGGCTGTTCGTAACCATGATAATAAGCTTGGTGGCGCCGGGTCTGAATGGATACTCAGATGCTTTCATCAAGCCCAAGAAACCATCACTGTCTGGGAATTCTTTGTCGCTAATAACAATTACAACAGGCCTGTTAACTAAATATCCTATTATTAAATCATATAAAACTGGCAATAACGGTAAGTCTTTGCTTCACAGAAGATTTATTTGAATGACTAATTATCATAAGGGTTGGTTCCCTATGTTGTTGTAGGAAGTGATGTCCTTTGACACCACGCCTCATGGTAAGGGCTATCAAAGTCAAGTTTGAATACGCGGTACTTGCCGCGTGCGGTGTTTCTTAACGCGGGAAATTTCATAGTCACCTTTTGATTGGTTGTTCTATTCTAGGCCTCAGAAACCCGAAATAAACATCTCGGTAGCTGTGATGGTCGCTTACTCGGAAGGTATTGACCATTCTATCGATATTTCCGGCAGCAAATTCAATCCCTAAGAGCTCATTTTCCTCAAAGGAAGGTAAAAGGCCTCTTCACGCTAGAAAAAGACTCAACGTAGCCTGAAGTATGATGGATCTATGTATAAGCTCAGCAAAACATTCGCACCTCTTAGCAAACTGCATGTTCATGATGACACTATCCTTGAAGTCCTTGGCGTCAGAGAAGAATTTTCCTTTCACAGTGTGGACATGACCGGGCCTATGCACAGGGGCTTTACCGCTAAATCCGACCAGGCCAAACCGCGGGCTTAACTTGTGATTCTTCAAGAAATTGTCGAGATGATCGACCAAAATTGGCAGGCGATGGACCACGTGCTTCATGCCGGGACCTTCGCTGCTAACTAAAACGACATCTACATCACTAGATGGCTCTAGCTTCCAGGTAGAGTTCTTCTTGAATACTCGTCCATTGACATCACATGATGCTGTGGATTACAAAAAGGAGAAATCCAATAATTGGATTTTCTACTAAGATAATGGGTTTAGTACAACTTAACAACTTTTTCAAACAAACAAACAATAAAACATATTTAATACGAAATGCTTCTTACCGATCGCACAAGTTACCTGAATTGTTTATTGCTTTAAAACGGTATTAGTATTGAACTCTTGGAAACTTCGTAAATTTCCGAAAGAAAAACATTATTTAAGGCATAATGATATTGACGCGCTATTTGTAAACTGATTCTTAGAAAGTGGCCGTCGGTCTTAGCTAAAATAATCTTATAAGGGGCCGACCATTTAACTCTTGAGGGGGGGGGTGATTTTGAAAATAAATTTCCTGCAAGCGCTTGTCGGAAGAAAAAAATTGCATGCAGCACAAATGTAATAGAAAAAAAATTCTTGCGCTGCTGTAAGAAAGAAAAAAAAATGTTGCAAAGCTATTTCATCATTCCGGGGGTCTTTAAAAAATCGCAGCAAAACTGCAACCATTTTTTTCCCTTGCTCACTTTGAACTCTGGATTTGATGATGCTGCAAAATTATTGCGTCATATGTGCAATGCATTATTAGCTTATCACAAGCAGTATTATAAATGGAGGTAATTTTTTTTTTTTTAAAGAATCAAGTTTTTATAGACAAAGGAAGTTTTTTTTTTCATTTTTAACAGAAACATTTTTATGTAATTATTTTCTATTTAAATAAATATAATATATTTTTTTAAGTTTTAGTAATGCACTTATCGATGTCTAGCCCCAATTGGGGGAGTGCAGGTATACCCAGGGGCTATTGACAATTGATTTCAAATATTTTTGGTCAATAAATTTCAAATTCCACACCCTCTGCCATTTCAAACCTTAATTCTTATTCAAAACATCCCCTCCCTTGGACAAAGTTCACAGGTCAAATGCCCCACCTATTTCCGCACTCCCTCTGTTTGGGCAAGACATTGATAGGTGCATAAAAAGTAGCTGTATATTTCATGAATAAAAATTGCGCTGCAAGATAAAAATTAACAGCAGCAATGAACATGGCTGAATGCTGCAACTGTATAGAAGTGGACTGAAAAAAGACTGAGCAAAAATTATTAGAGCTATTTTTCAATTAGACCAAGATCAACTAACTTCAATTTTGCTTTCACATTGGTTTTGAATATTTCAGTCTACTTTTAAATTGCAACTAATGATTCTAGCAGCAATTACCATGCTATGAGCATTTCTAAACTGCTTTTTGCTATTTTTGGCTATTTTATTTTAATTAAGAAACTAAACACTTTCACATCTGCCTGGCCTGTGGTGCATCACTTTATTTTGACGTAATAAAATGAGTGTAAAGAATGACTTTCTGAAAAGATAGCTATACAATAATGATTTTGTATAGCGTACAACATTTTAAGGCTTTGCAGCTCCATATTAGAACTATTACTGCAATGACCATAATGTAAGTGTAAATACATTTTGTATATGTAAACACATGACCCTTTTTTGAGGAAAAAAAAATCCTGCAGAGAAATGAGGAGGGAAAAAAAATATCCTGCAGAGCATTTAGAAGAGAAAAAAATATCCTGCCCACCAGATTGCTAGAAAAAAAAATTCTTGCCGACCAAAAATCACCCACCCCCCCCGTCAAGAGTTAAATGGTCGGCCCCTAAGCGTTTGTAGAAGGGTAATCGGATTACATGAACAGGATTGTAGTCCTAAATAGTACTACAATAGATTTCGTATATGCTCACAAAGGGAGGTTCCACTGGTTGAAAGTTCAAATTTAACACATTGAAAGTATACATTTAACTCGAAGTGACGACTTAAATGATATTTGATAATGATATTTACTTGACTTTCATATATCTTAGACATGGTTCTAATTTTCCGCCCTGTAGGAATAATGAAGGTTTGATTGTCTCGTGAATGTGAAGCCAAAAAATGCAACCTTCATGTAAAAAGAAAAACCTAATGGAACTCACAACACTCATCAGGCATGGTAATCTCGATTCCATGACGCTTGCATTCCCGGATGTATGCTGCAGTTACGTTGCAGTGGATAGTCTTCTCTGGGTCTTTAACACCGCAGTCAGTGTAATCTGCAACGCATGCGTCGTTGAAGTCAAGTGGGTTCACCTAAGCAATGGAGAGGAGACAAGGTGAGACTAGGAACGTTAAGGTGGCATTGGGAGGTAACCCTCTTAGTCCAGTTAAAATATTTTGTTGTATTGAGGAGAACCGCACGAAAAAAAGCCAGTGCAGCAGTGCATGCCTTCCGGATTCGGAATTTTACAAAATAACTGTATGTTAACGAAAAGGGGGCAAAGAAAAGAATAAGAAAAAAAGAAGGAAAGGAAAACAGTATACCTTGGAGAAACACTCGCTCAGAGGCGAACTTTCATTCTTGAAAAGCTCACTGCAGCGATTTGTCTTCCTCTCGCAAGGCCGCATTTGTGCTTCTACACTGTTCTCCACTTTGCATTCCTCGCCTCCTGCGACATGCCACGAGTTGAAAAAATCTGCAACGCTAGTTCGGTTCTTTCCACTGGGTGAAAGCCAGTCATCGCTTGGTTCACCATTGTTGGTTCCCAGAATGCCTAAAGAGAACACGCTGATTCTTAGCTACACGCTGCACATTTTTGTCTTGGCATTATGACTGCCAGAGTTTCTGGGTGACAAATACTGCTAATGTAAGTGACTTTTACAGATTTTTACTATGTACATTTTTATACGCCTTGCTTCGCGAGGAGTCAAGATAAAGCGAATTTTGTGTTCTGACTGACCTGACTGGCCGGTGGAATGGGCAGCATGAGCCTGTCTTGGCCCCCTCAGAAATTGTTGCTTTGTTCCAACACGAAAAAATTTCTTGTGGCCATATAATTGTTCTCTGATTGACAACCCTTGAAAGGTCACGATGGCTAAATATCGCCCCTGTTCTGTTTTTGCGCAAAATGGAAATAGTGCGACATCCAGCCATCTTGTCCTCACACTGAGTTAATACACACTGAATAACTTTCTCTGATAACTGATAGGCACATCGATCTAGATTTTGCGAAGACCTTACCAGCAGTCCTGTTGTGATAGAAACCAGAGACATTATAACTGCAAAGGAAGTGCTCCATATCACATTCAAGAGAGAAGCCGAGGTCGTTGGTCAGGTTGATATATGGCCCATCTCTGACGATGCTAGTATTCTCGAACTGGATGGGCAGCTCGTCATACACCATTGCATGTAGCATTCTCCTGTCCTTCTCTTCCACAATTCCTTGAGACTTAACCAGGCCGTCTCGGTAAATTCGTACAACAGCATCACGAGTGATGACGGTGATCGAATGCGAGGATGCTAAGATAGTGAAGTTTCCGTCCTTGAAGTCACGTGCCACCAAGAACTGGCATTGGGATGTCCTGATGCCAGGGAAGCGGAAGTACCGTTTGTCAAAAGTGTAAACGTGGTGGCGACCAAATGTCATACCGGTCACATCTGGAAGAAAACAAATATTAGGAAGAGGTGGCGGATGACTGATTTCTTCAAGACTACAGCATTGTAATTCAGCTTAGACAAAACCTTGTGGCTAAGTTTTGATGAAACTTAAACTTTGACATAGGCGTCCGGACAAGAGTCAGTGAGTAGCTAGCTACATGTAATTGCATTATTAGCTATGCACAGCCATTTGAGATCCCTTATCTTTTTTGTAGTCAAAAAGGCTCGCCTTGATACTAAAAATTGTTTGTAAGGGTGTATTTACGTTTGCATTGGTTGATAGTATTGAGGTAAGTGTTTTTCGTTACCTAGCGTTTTTTAAGGAAACACTATAAAGTATATTATTTTCTAATTTTAACCTACTTAAACATACAACAAACAAGAAGAGTGACATACAATCCCGGTCATAATTTGTTGAAGCAGTTCCGGAAAACACAACATATGCTTAGTCGTTTCTTCCCTTCCCCTTCCTTAGTGTTGGTTTCACACGTTTGCTTGGGCGTAAACGTCTTCCAAATCAACATTGAAAGGGAAGGGGAGGAAAACCTCGCAAGCGTTTCAAAAATTCTGACCGGGAATGTAGATGTTGGAGTTCTGGGCGGCAATTTGTATCTCGGTTGTCACACTATTCCCAGAAGAAAGGAGTGAGATTGCAAGCGCCGTCGTTACATTTGCGGTTATTCGGACTTAATATTGCTCTGTGACCTACTTTGTGGCTGAAGCAACTCCACCATATCTTCCCGCTTCAGTTCACTAATCGCTTTCAAGGTCCTCAGTGTGCTAAGCACCGGAGAAATGGTCCTATTGACATACTCGCGGATTGTCTGGTTGACCCAGCACATGGTGTAGTTCAAGATATGATCAGTGATGTTACACGAGAAATTCATCATATTGAAATAGATGAACTCGGGAAGATGAGCATAGTGACAGATCGTCTCATTTACCAACGAGCCGTTGACAAAGCTGGCTGTTGTGTTGACTACAGTAAGAGTCCAGTTGTAGATTGACAGTGTCCAGTTCATGGTCGTGTTGAAGGTTACGACGGTCAGGTTAGACGTGCTGTTATGAGAGAAAGAAGCAACAACATTACGAAAATTGTCACGATGATTTTGCCCGAGATCACAACCCTTCAGAAAGACTAGCGTTTACTTAAGTAACCTCTCCCACATCTACCCAACTTTGAAATAAAGCTACCATATTTCTACAGTCCCCTCCCATCACTCAATATGTAAAAGATATTATAAGTTTGTATGTATGTCAAGTCAAAACGTTTGGTCCATGAGGCTCGTAAGGTGAGTAAAGCACTTGCTCGAACAGTGCACCTGAACTTAAGTCAAACTTGGTCCTCTTCAGAAACACTTTCTACGAACACTTAACTAACACTGCAATGATTATCATTGGAAGCAAACCTTAACCTTATCTTCCCCTGATCATTAAGGCTGACCGATTGGCACAATACGTGTACCACTCAGGAGTGCTTGACTCTAGTGAACCCTTCTTCCAAATGTTTAGAACATTGTTAAAAATATAACGGCCGTTACTCCTGCTTTTCCCCGGTTTTTTGCCACTTTGTCTATTTTAAAGGCTTTCTCCATTACCTGTTCAAGAATAATTCCGTCATGTTCCTTGTGAAATTCAGGGTCTTGGCCGTAAGGTTCATGTAGGCATTGGTGACATTCAGGAAAAACTGAGTATAGTTTAGTCGCAAGAAGAGAGGATATGTTAAAGTGCTGATCATCGTTTCATTGGTGACAGTGGTATTGGATGGGAAGTTCCTGAGGAACCAAGCCATCAGGTAAATATTCATCGTTATTGGCCTAGTCGTATAATTCACCAACAGAGGGAAATAGTGCCGCGTGTAGTTTTGCCAGCTGTGGTTTCGCATGATGCTGACTATTTCGAACATGGTCGAGTTCCACTTCTTGAGGGCAGGGCGCATCCATGGCATACTAAAAGAAGAAAAAAAAAGAAATGTGAATGTTATATTTTCAAAAAAGAATTGTTTAATTTTGAAGCAGTACAAAAATAAAAAGGCCATTGGTAGATTTTCCTCTGTGTATGGACCTAGGCTCACCATAACAATTTCTTCCAACAACATTGGGTTTCTCAGAATATTTCGAAAAAAGCAACTAAGCATTCTCTCAAGTAGTTTGAGAAATACTCAAGTCAAAGACCTGATGTTGTTAGCTATGTTTACCTGGCGGTTTAAAATTTAACGTTGAGTATATCAATTTTAAAACCTTCCCCAAATGAATGACCAATTTTGAGGTATAATTTACGTGTTTATCTGGTTTATCTTACCAGTGAGTCCAGTTGCTAAAATGTGTTGTAAGGTTCAGCATTTCCCATGTCTCATTCAGCGGTTTGCTGAAGTTTGTTGAAGTCAGCAACTGCAAAGTCATGTTGAAGAGCTGATGGGTCATATTATAAGTGCGGTTAATGTAAAGCTCAATGATTTCCTGCGTTGTCTTATTAACCGTAACATTAAGGACGTTCACAGTATCATTAAGGACCAAGAGAACAAAGTCAGTCACATTAACGAGTAATTCATGGCTTCTGTTCACACGGCAAGCTGTCGTACGCACAGTGATGTTGTAAAGTTCTAGGGTTTTGTTCAAGAGACCCTCGATGGCAGCATACAAAGTCGTATTAGCTGTATAGTTATGTATCGACAGGCTGATATTGACTGGGTAATGAAGGGCAGGAAGGAGCCACTCCAACGATGTATTACAGATGGTCAAGTTGTGGAGAAGTTCGTGGGTGAAGTTGAACACGCTAATGTTAAACATATCTGTGAAATTCTGCCAGACTGGATACACGACTCCGCCGAGGAAAGAAGAGCTGTTCACATAGCCAGTAATATTCACGAGTATTTGCCGGGTGATGTTATACAGCATAGGGTGTGTTACATTGAGCAAGTACTCCGTGACATTGTGAGTGAAATTTCTGAAAACCAAGCTAACGTTTAACAGGGTGTCTGTGAAATTGACAGTACCGTTTAGTAACTCGATGGTTAGATTGTGAACGACAGGCAGGTAATCTCTCAGATAGCAATTGACGGTTCTGTTGGCGAATGTCAAATTTCCAAGCTCGCTGACGGTCCAGTTCAACCAGGCGGTAAAGTTCTGAGTGATGTTTCTTCCAAAAATGGTTAGATTGTAAATATAGGTTTCGAAGGTCTGGTCGTACCAAGACATGTTCCTTACCAAGTTCGTGATATTCCCGAGGACGGCTGTGGTATTAACATGATCAGTAAAGTTCTGCAAGATGATGATCAGCTCTTCCGTAATGTTTGCCAAGCTGACATCGCTATTCTGAATACTGAAGGTTGCGTATGCCAGGTTATTGTAGAAGAGAGTGCAGTTGAGTTTGTTGCTGTCATTGTGGAAATACCTGTAGTGATCGGCAGTAACATCTGGTATGCTGCGGGATGTGACGTTTAGAAGATGTCTTGTGAGGTTGAAGAAGTTCTCTGTGATATTCTCTGTGGTGTAGTTCCACACAAGCAGCTCTTGGGTGATGTTCTTTAACACGTACTTAAAGTAGGTTCGGAACGTCGTCATGTTTACTCCATCCAATGTCATATTTAATGTGATATTTGCCAGTTTGGTGGGAATATTGAAGGTGACATTGTTTAAAGCCTGCCAGGAACTTCTCACCGATGTCATATTGAGCACGTCGTAGATGAAGAAGTCTCCCAAGGTCGCTCTACTCCACTCCGTGTAAATCTCAGATCCATTAATCCTGTAAATGGTGTTATTAACGCGCGTTTCGTTATGCGAGAACATTTTCCAAGAATATGTTACGTTCTGTGCCGAGACATTGAAGTAGGAAATCCTCTCTGTGGCGTTGATGTAGAAACTGATCGATCCATTGAATGCAGTTTTGTTGAAGTGGTGCCACGTGCTAAGATTGAAGAACGCACTATGGGAAACGTTGCAGGTCCTTGTAACAAACTCGATGGTTCGGTTCCACATTGTCAAGTTGGAGACAACGCTCGAGTTGCTGGCAAATCCTTGCCACAGAAGTGTATGGTTGTAGACAGTGACATTAGCCGTAACATTAATGCTTGAGTTAAAGGTGCCTGAGCAGTTGAAGCTGACAGTCACGTTCGGAAGGATGTCGATAGAGACATTGACGTGGCGAAGTTCCCTGTTCCAAACGATGGTGTGATTCAAAACACTCTCGGATGTGAGGTTGACGAGAGACGTGAGGTTGAACACCTTGCTTGAATTCTGCAAGACACCGACCCAGCTGATTGTTCGGTTAGGTGTGTACAAAGAGATGTTGATAATGTGGTGTAGTAATTCTGCAGTGGTCTTGTTCACCAATGACAACTGGGCTCCGAAGGTTCGGTTCGAGAAGGTGAAATTAAACACGATGTCCTTTTTGGCTGTGGTGTTAAAGAAAGTGAAAGTAAAAGTGTTGTTAACAACAACGCGTGTGCCGTTTCTGACACGGTGCGTGATGTTAATACTGCGGATTTGATCGACCTCATGAAGCAGTTCAGTTGTAAAGAAAGTGTGATTCAGTTCTGCAGTCCAATTGCCCATGGAGAAATTGAAGTGCAGATTCTTGGTCGTGGTGGAGTTAAAGTAAGTGGCAGTGAGATTGAACACCGTTTGGTTGAGATAGGTGCAGTTGACCAGTATTCCTCTAGCAGTGGAATTTTCAAACCACGTAGTGTTCACTGTAGCAGTTGTATTCAGGCTGGTTACATTAAAAATCAACGACTTCTGTTCCGTTGTGTTAACGAAGCTTAAGCAAGTAGCCAAGATAGTCAAGTTCGATTGTGTGCCATTATAGTAAGTGCTGTTCAAGCAGATCCCTTTCTCGAGGGTGCTGTTCTTTAAAGAGCCAGACAGGACGATGGAGTGGTTCAAATAAGTTATGTTCAACCTCACATTTCTAAACAGCTCGTTGTACATCCAGGTAGTGTTCAAAGTGATGGATCTGTTCTGGTGCGTGACATTTAAATGGCAAACCCTGATGCCGCCTGTAGCATTTGTTACAGTCACATTCAGCGAAGACGTCTTGTTAAGCACGGTGACGTTGCAGTAATAACCCGTGACGTTCCTCTCCGTGGAGTTTATATACGCCTTGTAGCAGGACAACACCTGAGTGCCATTGCTAGAAACGTTGACATGGGTCCTGTACTCGTTGGTGGTGTTCACGTAAGTGACGTTGATGGTCACGTTGTTGTTCAGGATCGGTGTGCTCCAGACTGGGCAACTCACGTTCCAAGTCACATTAGTGCTCAGGGCGGTCATGTTATGCAGCCCACGTAGAAACAGCGTCAGGTTCAATGGGCGATACGTAACGTTTAGAGTTACGTTCCCTGTCATGTTACCATTGAGGTTGAGGGTGGTGTTGAGGTATAAAGCAGAAATGGTTGCATTGTCTGTAGTATTTCTCACAGTGGTATTGGTCTCCAAGTGCCACAAATGAGTGTCATTCTGAACGAAGAAAGAATGGCTTAGAGATCGGTTGAAAAGAGTCAAGTTAAGCGCAAGACCATACTTGATCTTATGAGTCAGGTGACACTTGCGGTGGAAGTAGAACGCGGTCAAATTGCTAGTCACATTCACAGTGATGTTCACAGCCTGGGAAATGGGTACTCGGATGAAGTCGATCGAGGTCGCATTTTCTTGGTGGGTTCCTATGCTGATGTTGAAACGATGCTGCTCTTCCGTTTGGTTAACGGTGACGTTGCAGTAGTATTTGCGCTGGAAGGATGCCCCAGGACTGCTGATTGCGAGGATCGTCTTGTTCGTGTATTCGTCCAGTTTGGTGTTGTTGAATTCAAGTTTGAAGTGGGTCAGCAATGGGTCTGTTTTGTTAAGGTAAATGGAGAAGTTCGCAGGGCCGGTGAGTGGGAAAAAAGGAGTAGTTTTGTTGTACCAAGCCACTGGAATAGAGATGTTCGAGCAGAGGTTCAGACCAAAAAGTCTGGTGCTATTGAAGACGTCTGTGGTGCATATGCCAGTCTTAGGAGAAAAAGAAAAGCAAAGTGATCATTATTATTTTGGCAATATTTTTGGGTGGTAAAACGTGAATGGTATTTTGCACGAAGGACATTTTAGAGGGTGTGAGAGGAAAACGGAAATCACAGAAATTACAACTGACTAATCTCAATAACTGTATCGACAGGTTTTCATGTGATAACGTCGGCTTACCACAAGCCAACATAAGCACGGAACGCATGCGAACAAGTCAACTCTGGTTCTACACTTTTATCTCTAGCAGCGAAGCTGACTGCCAAACTGGCGTGAGAGGTTTTAATAATATGAGCGTCTAAAAGCAAAGCAACAAACCGATTGACTTCACAAAAACATATAGTTATCATGAACAATACAAGTGATTTAAAACCGATACAATCGTGAAAATGTAAAGTTGCAAGCACATACCGTGTTGCGATGTTCAACACCAAGAATTGGGGTTTTAACGTCATCAATGTGATGGAAAAGAGCAGTTCTGCAACAAAATAAAGAATACCTTGTGGTTAACGTATAAATAGTTACGCAGCTAAAGAATGACCATCGTCAACTTTTGATAAAAGAAACTCTGCAATGCCCAAGATAAACCAGACACCGAGACAAATGTCCGCAAGTGTTATCATTAGCTAGCTGAATTTTACGCATACTGTGTATATAATCATATCTCCTCCATGTCCTGTTAAATGACACTTTTTTTGGATAAGTAAGAAATGACTTTATGTACAGTACATTATTTTTATGACAGTGAACATGTACGCAATTTGACTCGTATATTAGAGCATCAGTAAACTTTTAATAATGAAAAAGAAACAAAAAAGAAAAACAGGAGACAAAACGAATCTCCGGCGAATAAAACGCAAAATTAGCAATGATGTCACTTCATTTAGGTAAAACCATAGTTTAATCTTACGTGATGTTTAAGATTTCTTGTGGTTTTTCAGTGACATTGAAATGTGACTTTAGTCCATCTTTCTCATTGTAAGTCACATTGCCTTGCATCTCGGTGGAGGTGGAGATCGACTCATTCAGCAGTACACCAGAAGAGCAGTGGAAAGCATCCAAAGTAAGCTTACCAGAAAGTACGATGGCAGCGCTGAAGGAAGAAACAGACAAAAAACAATATACCTCTACTTGTCCTCTGCCTTTCTTACGTGCCATTATTGAAACTTTTTACTTGATTGCTACCTATTTTGAAACGTACGACAGACAATCTAAAGATTAATAGCTCGTTGCGTTTTCCAAATGATTTAGTTTTGGGGTCTATTCTCATGAATACTATTAATGGTCACTTTTGGCAACATACACTATTTCCAGTTCTTTGAATTTGGTTTTGTTTTGCTTGTTATCTACGCTGTTTGCCAGGACAATTCCTAAGTGAACACCCCCAAAGAAAAACATTATATCTTCCTCTTCTCAAAAAGCGATGGTACTTCTGTTATTTCTCACATTTACAAAAAAGGTAATTTCGAGGAAAGGCGTCGAGAAAGCAACTGCACAGCACACGTAGATCAATGAGGCATTTCTTCAGGGATTACCTTGGTTTAATGGTTCCCTTGACAACTGCACTCTTCTTTCCCCAAAACAAATTCAAGAAATCAGCTTTACCCTGCACGTGCATACTGCTGACAACTGTGCCATTGAGACTAAGGTTTAGCGGTATTCCAAGGCCAGTTGGAACGACATAACTCTCCTCCAAAAACAAAACGCTCTTCGTGTAGGTTTTGTCGATTCCTCGAGAAAGGGCTCTCAGTAAATCAATAATATCGGCCAGCGGTATATCATCCTCCTCAAGCCATTGAAGGTCTTTCAAAGTGAATAGATTGAGTTCGCTACCAAAGAGTTTCAGGGACAGCAGAGCGCTTGGAGTCATAGTCCGCAGATTTACCTGTACATTACGCAAAACATCACTACTTGTAAGATTTGCTGAAGTGCAAAATGCAGTTTTTTTTGCCTTGGGGACAAAATACGTAAGCGTGACTTAACAAATATCGATAACACTATTTAGATTTGTCCAAAGAAGAAAGTGGTCTTTTGAATACAACAGTATAAACATTTAACTGAAAACTAACGCGCTGCTCATTGCCGTCGAACGTGTTACAAAGTTGTTCAAGGTAGAATCTTTGATGCCTGTGTACGGACACCACAATCACCCGGTTAATAAAAGCTATTGTGAGCACCATCCCTTGTTTTGTGTTTCGCTTCCTTGCGCAACTCAGCCGAATCTTAGTAGCCAAATAATACATCACTACGGCAACACTAAAACTTGTGACTCTCACCCAACCTCGTTCCCAGGGTCCTCTCATACTCGTCCCCCGGGGGACGAATAGGAGAGAACCTTGGGAACGATTAACTCTCACCTTGTTATCTAGTGATTCAAAATCAAGGACGTTGTCTGTGCTTCTCTTTTCCAATTTCTTAATTGCGTTTTCTTGTTCCTCTGGTGTCCGCACAAGTCCTCGGATGTGGTTATCGGGGAAGTACCCTTTATGTCCAAATAGTTTTTCCCAGATGATCTCTAGTCCTTCAAGCCGCGTACTGGTCTCCACAACAGGAAAGGCTCCACCCCACATGTCAAGAGTAACGTTCAGTTCTGCGGATCGGGGTAAGAGGCTTTCGGGGTGATAGAACACGTGGCTTTCCATACTGAATCCAAGATTGCTTTCCTCTGTAGAAGAGTAAGGACGGGATTACAAATACAAGGCAATAGTTCATATAGCAGCAAGAAAACGTTAAAAAAGTAATAGAATGGTTAACAAAGGAAAGCAAGATCTGTGACAATCCCCGGTAGATGCGAGGAGCATAGGTGTATGTGTAGCACGTGACTCCGCATGCGAGTGCACTCGAGCTGTCATTGATGATTGAGCCATAGAACAAGTTCTTACTTAACGTACATGTACACGATAAAAATGTGTCGCAAACGTGATGTGGTCGAGTGCGGACGTCGTAAGTATGCGACTATGAGATATAACATTACTACAGTAACAAAAACAATTTCTTTCTTTCCGCACTCAAAGAGTAAAACGAAAGACAAAATGAGTCTAAAAACATATTTTCCAGTGTTCCAGAAACGTACCATTTAAATAACTCCTTTGCATAAAACGGGACTTGAATGATGTGATGTTGAATTCACGAAGAGGAGTTTTACGCTCCTTCAAAGCGCTCTTGATCATTTCACTAAGTCTAAAGGAAAGAAAAGGGGAGAAGTAGGAAAGATTAATTATGAAAAAGACCACGAAAGTTCAAACTTTACGTTTTTGACCCTAAATGAAACGCAGACCTTCCACATTAATATTTTTCTCCGTTATCACGGAGCATGGTTCAGGAAAAAGCTGTCTTTCTCTCGTTTTCAGGATTTATTTAAAGTCAACTAAGGAGGGCTTCCTCACCAAAGCAAACCACCTTTCGTGTTCTCTTAACGGAGTGTTTCAGCTGGCAAAAAGGACGCATTCTTGGATTTGAGTGGCCACAAAGACTCTACGGTGAAACCAGTGGCCTAAGGCTTAGAGTTCTGCTTGAGCGTTGAACACTTTGACTTCACTTTCTGATCCTTAAGAGTGGCGATAATGGAGATTTTTGTTCTATTTGTTTAGTGGTGCTATGCGCCTACCTTTTTCCGTACGTAGGCTCAACAGACTCGTTCATCTGCTTGAGATGGGAGAACACAAAAGCGCCAACTTGAGCGTTGACTTCTTCGTCCAGCACCTCTGCTACATACTTCACTATAAGCTCAGAGGGATGCATCATCAAGGCCAGGTACGCCTGTAGCCGAACCTCCGGGTCCTTTCTGTAATCACCAAACACCTCTCTCCTCAAAGTTTTCTGCGTTACCGCGCAGAAGGGGAGGCGTCGGATGGTTTCTATGGCAACCACGGAAACATTGAGATAATTAGCACCCTGTGAGCATTCCACAAGCTTGACTGGTTTGGATCTCATGCGCCCAGCGTTGCCGATAGCCTTAAGGCTTATAATGAGGTCATCAACCGTATCAGGAGTAGCATCGCAGTGTTTTGGGAGTTGCTTCTCAAGAAAGTCTACTGCATCCATTACCTCAGTGTCCTAAGAAGAAATTCGCAAAATGGTAAATCAAAGTTATTTTTGCGAAATTGTCGACGCCTTTGTGAAAATTGTCAAAACGAAATATAGTGTAAAAAGCTTTTTATACATCATTCGGTAGTCAGTTTGGATGGGTAGATAATTATTGTACTTGCTTAATGGGGTAAACCTAAGTTTCTAAGCTTCCGTGCATAAAATTTGGAAATGACAGTTCGGCAGGCTCTTTCACGCACGCTTCCTACAACTTTCGTTAGCCTTCTGATAGTTCTTTATCTGTTCTCAGAATGATCTCCTATGCAGTCTTCAGTAAAAGAAAACGAACTTTAAATTTTAATTTACAACTTACAGATTCGCTTGTGCATTGCTGTGGCTCCTGATCGCAAAACTTTCTGATCGTGGTACCGAGAGACAGCAACATAGTTTTGGGCAGATCCTTCTTTTGTTCCAGCAGATCCTAAACAGACATGCCATCAAAGTCAATGTAGTGTTAAGCATTCGAAATTCATTTACAACTGAAAGAAGCTATGCGAGGGACTTTTTTAAAAGTGAAAGGAAAAACATTTTACTCCTTCAATTCGACAAACAATCGTGAAGACAAGTAATGTAGCTCCAACTTTTGACATGTGAAATGACTTATCAAATTAAACCTCTTCGCCAACAAGTAAAAAGTAGAACTAACCTTGCTTAGTCCCTTGGCCAAATTAGCTCGGCCAACGTCACCCGTGCAGGGACTGGGCAAGAACTAACCGCAACTCTTCTGTATTTTATGATATAAAATTTGAGGTTTAAGAAAAAGGCACTCTAGGGAAAGTGTTTACTTTCAAGTAATACATCGTTTTAATAACAGTTTTTCTTAGTTGATCCGAATGTGGTTTTCCAGTCCGTTTATGGACGAGGGAAAGAGGCTGTGAAAGAAGAAACTACAATAACTTTAAACACTGAAGTACATACTTACCAAAACTTCGTTGAAGAGCATCGGCGATGGTTTGCGGACTGCACTCATGCCAGACAATAAGGCGGTCACGTCTTCAGGTTGTACTTGATCATAGTCCCGGATTGCCTCGATAACATATTGCATACACTGCACAGTCCCGCATTGAGTGATAGCGTCAATCACGTACGACCTGAAATAAGGGAAGACATGCAGTGACTTTATTTCATTTCCTGACAGGTATATCCTGATAAAATTGTTTCTTTTTTCTCTTTTTTCTTGGGTCTACAGCACGCCGTACAGCACATGAATAAATATGGAAAAGGCAGTGTCACATTTAAAAACTGATATAACTAACGCACTCGTCACAAATCTTTGCGCAGTGACCACCACCTTAAAGCCATTAAAACGCTAAGGATACACTCACCAGGGCGATAATATTCCACCTAGACTTATCCAAAAACGTTTAGTTATTGCAATGGAAATAAATAGCTCTAAGGCAAAAAACGTTATGCAATCATATGATTGGCCTGTTGGAATATGTTAAGATTGGCAGTGAAAGAGTAAAAGCAAGTTTAAACCTAAACGTTCTCGAGCAAACGATAGATCTCTCCGTCACCCGTGCTTATTTCATTTTGTGCGTGGCAGGCGTTGAATGGGGTAGTGCAGAAAAGGTCAAAATGGCGAGGGAATTCTCCCCTCCCTGTCCCCCTTTTTGCGCCTTCCACGTAGACTGGTGTCTTTTAGGATCACACAGAAACTTACTGGGCTTTCTTGCACTGCTTGTCTGTGAGAACTGTTTCAAGGTCATTGCAGTTGTAAAATGTAGTCCACACGTCCCTCAGCGCACTCCTATCCAGTTTCCGGATCGCGAAAACAAGGTTGGTGAACTTGATTGCCGTGATAGGTTTGCTTTCGTTGATTGGAAGGACCGTGACCAACTCTTCGAGCAGAGCTTTTGCGTGCTGAGAATTCTCGTTAACTGTTTCGGATACCTCGTCTTTCCGGACGCTTTGCTCGTATAAGAGGCATGACTTCCGATGCTCTGTTGAATAAAGATAAGGTCAAAGACCTGAACTGGTTCGAAAAGCCCATTAGCTCCTGGAAATTTTACCTTTGAAGCTACAATGTAGTCGAGACGTTTTCTTGTCGACATCAGGGCCCAAAACGCTGTTTATAAGTCGAGCACTTCGCGGTCTTCATAGTTGGGTTTATTAATTTCGCTTTTATCCTTTGCTGGGCATTTACTACGCTTCCCTTTGGTAGGAAAAGGTTTTGGAAAACTTTCAGAATCGTAGGATTATACGAAATCTAGTGCACGTGGGTTCTGGAACAAGAAATGTGTTGGATGTGTCGAGTCAGCTTTACATGTTTTGGGTGTGTGTGCGTGTGTGTTTTTCTCCGAACTATTTGACTGAACTGTGTTATTTCGGGTGAAAAATCTCTTAACCCCAGCACAAGTTTGATATCAAAGTTCTCTGTGACGTTAAAACTCATGACGTCACAAGCGCTTCAAAAGGGACGTGGATTCGCACCTTACAGGCGGGTGAATGGGTTATTGTTACTATAAGACTAATAGTTTTATTCCTACCGGTCCAGTCGGGGCTCGAGAAAAAATTCGAGTTCCACTCTTCATCCTCTAACGTCAAATTCATCCTGCAATTACATTTACCATATCAATTAGATAATTGCTAAACTGTACAGTCATTCAATATCAAGGCAGTATCAGTAATGAAATAAGAACATATTTGCAATTCTCAATCCCTTTCCTCTTTTAAGAAAATACTGAAGATTAAATTATTAAGTAAATATGAAAACCGTTCATAAATCTTTCCATCTTCGTCTTTTCGCCATCTTTTCTTCAGCCCGTAGTTCGAGGAGGCCTAACCTCTAAAAAGCTCCTACAGTTTCTGTTAGGTCTCCTCGCTACTTTTTTTTCTACTTTTCCTATATTATTTGTAATTTCTATTATTGTGTGGCAAATAAAATAAAATAAAAATAAAGAAAGAAGGATTTGAAAAGCGTTACACTAAGTATGCTTGCGTAACAATCGTTGTCACGCCAGCTCCCGATGAAACGTAACAAACTGAGGATGATATTTTATATAACGAATCCCCGCATAACGGACCACATTTCTAAACCCAGTTATAAACGTACCCTAGTTACAGTGATATATCTGAAGTTCCAATGTCCTAACGTGTAGCACTGATGAAACAGGGATAATCAAGCCATCTCACTAACAACTGTAATGCTACGCGAATTCAAAGCGTCACAATAAACACTTACGTGACATTAGTCATGACACCAGCTCCCTTATAGCTGAAAGGTCTCAGGAGATGAATTTCGTTACATTCTACGGTCTTTACGTGGGAGTTTACAATGTAACGGCAGAAGCTGGTCGAGTTAAGGGGACCTTGAATGGTCTAAAAAACGAAAGTGGGAGTGCTTAATTAGAAACAAGTCATCAACTTTTGCTTTCTAAAACAAAGAATTAGTAGAGCTATTTACTCTTAGCTATGTACTCTTATCTGATCTTCAGACACAGAAAAATGAAAAACAAGAGGCACGGCAAGTTTCACACACTAGACCCGTCACCGTCAAGGTGTTTGTATGTAGAAAGTTTTTACATGACGTCACGATATTGGTGTACACAAAACAGTGAAAAGGTGGCCATGTTGGTTTAACAAATCAGTCATGTGGGGCTTGACCTCTTTTTTCATGTAAAAACTTTCTTGAGTCCGGGAAATTTGTATAGCTACTGTTCACGTAAGTGAGTCTCATATTCCAAGTCATTTGATATAACTTTACACCGCTTAGATGAAAGACTAATCTTCAGAACTGCACGTTTTGATCCACGTTGAAGGTCAGTTGAAGAGAATCACGCCTAGTACAATTCCTTAACGCTCCACAGGTTACAAAAACTGGGATTTAACGGTTAAAAAATCAGTACATTAAATGCAGGCTTCCGCAAAAATAAAGTCACGACAACTACTTCAAGTAAAAAGCACTGAAACAGTTCAGGGGCCAAACCAGGGAACTGGAGAGAGAGTTTACCCAAGGAGGGTCCTTTGGTACATAATTATGTTAAAGGGTTAAAATGAGTTAGAGATTGAAGGGAGAATTACAAAGGGGACTGAGTACTTACTGAGTTCACGTTGTACGGGACTGGGTTGAGCTTGGTGATGTTGTGCGTTCGGTTGGTGCATTGAGATAGATTCTTAATCTTGAGGATTTCTTTGTCTCCCTCGTCAGATTCCCCGATGATCTTCAATTCAGTTGAGCAGTTACCGGATACATCGACCTGATAGACAAAATAGGGCTCGTTAATTTGCTTGTTTATCAGTGCAAATGGAACAAACGAATGGTTACCTGTACTCAGTGAAATAAGTAATCACACTAGACCTCTGTACAGAGTGACTACTCGAACAGGCGCGGGGGCACTTAGAAGAACATTATCCAATCACAACGATTTCCTGAAAACAGAACTTTCTCAAGTTTTTTCGCAAAAGGACCAATAACATTCATGAATGCTGTTTCCTGAGAGGTTATGTAAGTTCTAGGAGCTTTTAAGTTTATAACGGTTGCACAGTTGGTCCGTTTTCAAAAAAAACTTGAGAATCTTTTGTTTTGATCCAAAAAAAGTTGTGATTGGATAATCTTCTTCCAAGTGAACCTAACTGACTACAAAAACCTGAAAACTATATATCAGGCTATACCCTACTGCAAATAAAGTCCTAGGGAGACCTTGCTGACATTTTACAATCCTGTTGTACTCTGTAATAAGGAGAATCGGCATCATTTTTATCGCCTTATCCCTCCAATGCTATATTGAGCGGTATCCCCACAGTAGTGTTCATATCATGTTAGATGCGGTCATTCTTAAGTTTCAGATTGTGGTTTAAACGCTGTAATTTCACCACTAACGTGAGGAAAACAAGAAGTACTCATGGTCAGTTTTTAATGTGACGTAAAAGTTTGTTTCACCTTTGCTTATTTGGAAAAAACCCGACAGTACGACCACTTATATGGAAGACAGCTAGAACGGAATTCTTGAAGGTTCTTGGGGGGCTCAGAACTAGCCAGCCGAACCATGGCCGGACCAGTCATTTTGACAACGAAATAGGCTTTACCTAAGAGGTTTTGCTTCCTTCGGGCATACTATTTAGATTTTGACTGATCTGGCGGAAAAAGTTTGATTAAAAGTGAAATTCTCATCATGACGGAAATGTTCCGGCAGGTTCGTTCTCACAATTGGAAAGCACCCTTAGACAATCCTTTTTTAGTAGTGGGTACACTTAGAGAAGTGTGTTCCCCTCGGTACTGGGCATTCTAGTGCCTTCGGCATGTAAAATCAGACTCGCACCCAGTCGCTTCTCTGTATTCGCGCTGTGATTAGTGGCGAAGATTTAGTGAGTTCGCGGTGCAACAAAGAAAGGGAGGCTCCTTCCCAAGCGCCTTTGCGCGCATTAAGTTGCCTTTCCATATTCCTTTGCCACTGGGTACGATTCTCATGCAAAATTCTAGCGATGACATGGGTTCACAAGAAAATGATTAAGTACCTCTGTGAAAACTTTTTGCTGTTCCTCTACGGACTGCAGCTGAAGAGCACTCAATATACCACGTTTGATGTTTGTTACATACAGAGGTTCAGAGATGTGTGGCCCGACGACCTCGAAGCGGCGGTTGTTTTCCGTAAACAACAGGCTGTTTGCCTCAACATCCTTCTTGAAGCTCTCCTGGTTTGGAGAGGGCTGAAACTTGGTCTCATTACCAGGTGTCGCCTCCAATAATTTCACCTCGGATACCTGTGAAGGGATATAATGCAGTTGTTAGAACTTATTAGAAATTATCTTCTCGTGTTTAATATTCCAGCTCTTCAAGGACTTCAAAGTGAAATGATGAGTGATTATATCGGACAATTGCGCCAGTAACAAATGACGGATCAAATAATGGCTTCAATCAGCAGTGCTAGTGTAAAACAGATTTTATCGACTGCGGTATATTCTTACGCTTTCGTGCAAGCCTCACAACATAGTCTATGATAAAGAAAATATGCTAAGGCACCAAAGAAAAAAATATTAATTATGACACTATAATTCTTAACTCAAGTTATAAAGGAACGTACATTTCACAAGCTGCGTCAAATGTTCCTAGCTTCGGGTCGCTGTCAATGTTTTGAAAATACCTAGATCATGCTTAACTAAGTTAAACCTAATTTGTTATTTCAGATCTGAAATCACTGTAAGAAAGCTCCATATGGCCGCGTCAGGATAATATGTCCTATAGTGGACTATACAGGGATGAAGGCTCTCAAGCAACAAGGGATTCAATGAGTTGCGATATTTAAAAAATACCAAGCGAAATGCCGTTTACTTGTGGTTTTTCAGGGTCTCAAAGAGGCGCGCCTGTTTTAAGTTCTTTTAATTTAATCAATAAAAAAGTCAGATAAAGTCAGCTACAAGTTAGCTTAAACGTCTTTATGGGCATATAAAGGGTATCGTATTATGGAAAGTAAAAGAAAAGAATACTTTGTTGGTCAAAAGTCGTACATCAAAGGAAAGGGTTTGGCCCCCAGGGCAGAGTATCTCTGCATTCCTCCCCGTAGGGGGATTAGATTACCGGATGCTCTTACCACCCAACTATTAAAATACCGAAAAAAAAAAGTAGTCAGACAAAAATAACATTAAAGACTAAACTAACAAAGCTGAAAACATACAAACCCTGAGTATACGCTGGCACGAATAGGAGGCCTCGATCTCGCATTTAGCCTCGATCCTAAGACCAGTGATCTCATTGGTTGTTCCAGTTACTCCAGTCAGGCTGGTAGCAACATAACGATAGATGTACCTGGTGTTAGGAAAAAACCGCGTCTGGCCTGGAAACGAAAAAGTGACGTAAAGGTGAAGAAAGAGAGCAAGACAGAGTGTCTAGATTATTTAAAAAATATTTAACTGATGGAGAGCTGATTTCTTATGTTAGTGTTGCAAACAAAGTTCGTCTTCATGGTAGAGTTGCCAAAAAAAGTTTAGGCCTAATCATACGCTTCGCTTAAAATCTTTCGTAATACGAAGAGGAAAACTCACAGGCACCCATCGTCAATTTTGGAAAATATCTGTTCGGTTCATCTGTTCAAATTTCCTAGCTGATTAAGTCTAGTGATCCGAAAATTATAGGGATCAAAACTTACCTTTTCGAAAATTTCAGCCCCAAAAAAGGCTCCCGAAAATTCTAGGTGACCTTTTTAGGGTAAAATTCCTTAAAAATGGGCAGTTATACCATTTTTTAGATGTTGAAAATCCTAGAAGAGGCAGCCAATCCCGTTTAAATACTAAAATACGTTCAACAATGCTATGTTTAAGTTGTTGTGAACTATATTCCCGTCGGGTACCCCTGAAAACTAAGACACTCTTCAGTTTTTTAGTAAAACTTTACAACCCTAAAACACACATTTGAAATAAAGATATTTCCAGAGAATCTGTTGCCCTTTACTGCCTAAAGTACAACTTGGCTTGCAACTTAAAAAAAAAACCGGGGCCAAAGTTAAACTCTTGAGTTTTCAAAAGAATTAGGTTCTCTGGGTTCCCTTTTGAAAAAGTTCTTTCTTTTGGAGTTAAGATACTTAATAGTGCTAGCAAAAGGTCAGGTTTAGTAAACAAAGAAGAAATCGCAATGACACATAAGCTTCAAGTGGTTTGACTAATGGTGGAAATAGAAGAAAGGTCACGCACGGACGTCACGCACTTATATAAATGTCTACACAGTACCGTTACACAGTCAAGCATATTGGATAAACACTTCTTTTTGGACTTTTTGTAATTCGAAGTTATCACTTCCCTCTTTACTCCCGCTTCCCGCTGACCAAAGTAAAAATTTACCAAAAAAAAACCGTTTTGTTAAGTTCGCAAAAAGTAGTTCTTTGCAAAATTCCGCTAAAGAAGTTTTATTTGAATCACAGGCGGCCCAAGCTCAATTCAGTGGACAACAGGCGATTGTAATAACATGTGTGAGGTGTTGTGTTACAAGGTCGTTCAACCGAAGGATTGTATGGGCTTGCAAACATTTGTGAGGTGTTGTGTTACAACGATCAGTTCGAAATGGGGCTAAAATGTGAATACAAGATGAGAAATACAACATCAAAGGTAAGTTAACTTTTATTCAAAAATTAGCGTTATTTCTTTTTTAAAAAAATTAAATCTCTGATTAAATCAGTCACAATCCCGTACAACCTTTCCGGGGAGGGGACTTGGGTTGATGTTTGCACCCCATAATAGTCTATTTTTTGGCCAACTATAGACCCCATCTTAGCCACTTTTGGGAAAATGTAATTTTCGTGATCCCAACTTAGTCACTTTCTATTTATACATCTACCTTATTTTGACTTATTAATATGGTTTCAAGCGGGGGAATGTAATGCGGTCAATGCGAGCTTATTGTTAAATTTAATAAACAACAACTTTCTGATTTTTTCTTCCCATTTTGCATCCCTACTCACCCCAAAAATCCGAAAATTTTCGACCCCATTCTAGTAACTCTATTGAAAATGCAACCCCATTATAGTCACTCCAGTCGTGAAAATGCGACCCCATCTAGCGGCACATCCCTATTGGCCTCTTGTAAGGGAGTACTCCCCCGGGCAACCTTTATGATCTTGGTCCTGACCGTTGCAACACAACACCTCACATATATTTTCAAACCCATACAAATCCCCCCGCTGAACGACCTTGTCACACAACACCTCACAAATTTTATCGCCTGTGTTTGAATGGAAACACATCACACATTCAAAAGTTAGAATGACAAATAATCTCTCCATAATGTGGTCTTGGAGTTAAAGCTTTAACCCTTTCAGTGAGTTCCAAGAGTGACCAGCATCAGTTTTCTCCCAACCGTATCAACACATGGTAAAGAGGAAAGGTAATGAGAATTACTGAAATGATCACCTAAGGGAAATTCTAGTTTGCATGACATTTGGATAAGGTGACAATAAAAAGTGAAAAAGATTCTCAATATCGCATGTACCTTGTTATAGGAAATTAACGATCTTTGAAATTAAGGCATTGGAAATAAACGCCACTTAAATTAACACGAATTTAGTGGAAAACGACTTTCAATAAAAGGAAATTAACGCGAAAGAGAGGGAAACATTTTAAAGTGAAGGAAATTGAAGCGACGTTCACAAAGAAACAAAACTTTTTGAGACAATAGGAACCAAGATATTAAACCGGTAAAATCCGAAACGGAAACTTTGTTCGTGATTCTTTCCTTATTAAAACGTTAAGCGAAGAAATCTGGCCACTTCAAGTTCTTCACAGTTTCACTGTTGCTGGAGGATCTCCAGCCCGATAAAATACTCATTTTTCTTAGGTGTCAAGAACGTCAGAATTTATTGAGAATTTGGGGTCAACAACATGGAAATTAAGGTCGCGGAAATTAACGCTAAACTTAATTAACGTCGATGAAATTAACTTTTACAGAAATTAACGCGACTAAAATTAACGCGTTAATTTCATTTCATGAAGCGTTAATTTTCCATAATAAGGTAATCGTTCTTTTTGCGTTCAAACTAATGGTTAAACACAAGACACGTGAACATTTTCATGAATATAATCCGAGGGAGGCCTGACAACCGAAGAGTGGGAAACCAAAGAATCTGGACGCGATTCCTGCTAGTAGCAGGGTTAAAGGCTCCTGGAAGTAGCCAGTAGGGCGTAACCAGTTTTTTAAGTTTTGAAACACAATTCAAATTTCAAACTCACACGGAAAACTGGCTTCCCATGTTTTCCACAGAAGTGGCCCGTTGTTCTATCTGATGTAGAACTTGTGCATATCAGTGACTTGAGATTGATCTGCCTAGTTTTGACCTCTCGAAGTGGGAGAGTGAGAGGGTTTTGGACTGGCTATTATTAGTAAACGCTGTTGCCGGCATGGCTTATATAAGGGATCGGAGTACCCGACCTCCTTGCCCTCTCCATTTCCTCTTCAACAGTATCATAAAAGCAACGAAAATGACCCAAAATTTTGGAAAGAATGAAAATAGGACGCAGGTCCCCCTTCCCTCAAGTCAGGGATGAAGGCGGCGCACAAGGACCAAAATGCACCGTTCCACCTATCCTCGAATGTTTTTCTTTGGGGGATAAACATATTCCGCCTTTTATCCAAGAGCGCAGCTGCCATTTATCCGTGCTAGATGACTTCGTTGTTCTTGGTAAAATGCAGCCGGATGTGGATTGTGTTTCTAATCGTGTTGTTTTACACGATAAGCCGGATGACCTTGACTTTATAGAATAACGGACGTCAAACGAAGGTTTCGCGGTGTTTTCAAAAGGTTGCCCCTCCCCCAACACTCCCCCAAAAAGATTAATTTTTTTTCGTAAAGGGTTTTTTATTTTTTAGTTCGTTTGTTTTAAACTGTAGACGAATCTTTACGCCGCAACACATCATCAAAGACAGATCGCTTATGGATGCTCGAAAGAGAAAAGAAACGAATAGCAAACACATCGAAGCTTTATTTTGAGATTAACGTTTGATCTGTTTTGAGAAAATGGAAGTAAACGTCGAGGGCTCAAAGATTTGCAAGCCTTTTAGTGACCTTGAATACCAAAGGATAGCATTTCAGCTGAAATGAAAATACAGATCTGCTTTTATCCACTAATGTCTCAAATCCGTTTACCACCTGTAATAGCACACTGAATTTTTCACGTGAACCACACGAACCTTGTTCTGCATTGTCATCCAGCGAGCAAGGTAACACCAGCTTTATCCGCAACAAAAGGACCGGAAATCTCAATTAACAAAGTGATTTTTCATTAAATAGATGATCAAGTGAATGAGGGAGGTATTAATTGATAATGGTAGCATGCACGAACGCATGGGTGATAAGAGGTGTTCACGTGCATACTACATACTTTTCAATGTAGGGGGTCGGGGATAGGATGGCCTTTACTAACCTCGAAGTCCAAGCTTTCGAGGTGATCGCGAAAAAATTCCTGACGGAAACGGGCTCTTCTCCATTTTCAACCGGTAAAGGATTTAATAAGTTACATCGCATGTTTGAATCGACTATCGCTTTGCAACCGGCTTAAGATTTTTATCCTTGTAATCGAACACTCTTTAGTAGAACAATAGAAATGGAGTGTGGTTATGGTACACAATGAGCAAAGCTTTTTTGGAACAAAAAGGGAGATTGAGAGATAAACCGCAATAGTAACGAAAACCGAGTGTTAGAGAATATCAGTTTGCAGAAACGATTTGCCTGCTTTTGCTGGAGGTTTTCGCAGCCACCTCTTACTCTGTTATTCCACTGAAAAATGCCTTTGGTATTTAAAACTTGCCCTCCGGACAGCACGATAGCAAGAATGGAATCAAAACCCTTTTTTACCCTTCTTAAAAATCAGAGGTGCAAGAGCAATTAATGACGTTTCTTTACAAAATATTTCAGCTCATCCATTTTCTATTAAAAGCCTGTTTAACTGTCTCGCAGAGAAACGATCGTGTGCAGGTAAACCAGGTTAAAGAAAACTGACTTCTGCAGGGGAAACAAAATCGATGGGTAGGTAAAAAAAGGTCACAATTATTTTTCGTACCTGTCTCGCAGTTCTCCTCAGAGTTTCTCCTGACAGGAACTGCAAAGAAAATCATTTTCATTTGGAACATCAAGGAAAAGTGCTATTAAGTTAATAGTTTCTAGAACACATAGTGAGAAAATGGCTCTTCCCTGTGCAGTCCAAACTTTGCATAACGCAGAAATTGAACACCTCTGATGTTGGGAACGAAGCGGAAAATTTTTGCCAAACATTTAATCTTTTTTCACGGTGATAACAATTTACACCTTGGAACTAGATTTTAACTTGTTTTCTCCGCAAAAAACAAAAGAGGAAAAGAAAATTTACTTGCTGAGCAAAATGTCACTACCGCGCACCCTCAACATTGGTTATAGCTATTTTAAAAGACCTGGGAGTCTTTGCAGTAAAACAATGGCAAGTACCGATTAAATACATTTCTGAAGAAAAAAATGAAAGACAGGGATTGGTCTTACCGGCCAGCACACTGCCAACAAAAACGCAAGCTAACAATAGCTTCATTTCGCCTGATATCATCCAGATCGATGCTTCTGTAGTCTCTCAATGAGCTACTGAGCACAGAGTGGAAAAACCTGGGTCTTATATTATGACAAGCCCGCGAAAAACAATACTTGACTTTTCACATGACAGGTGAAAACAATACGCTTGTGTAACAAAATACCAAAGCCACGCATTTCCTTTTTAAAACATTAACACTGAGCACCCGGTGATAATAGTTTTCGACGGGGGTACAACGCCAACCAAATGGAACAGATTTGCGGCCTACGGAAACCCTCACCTATTTTTACAACTAATTACGCAGTTATTCTGCTAATTTTTTTAACCAAAAGTAGGTGATTTTCCAAACTATTGACAGACCTGATATTTTAACTGACACCCGTTTGCGCCGAAATGGCTCCAAAACTGCACATTTTGTGCTGTAAATATCCATGCATTTACAAGGCGTACCCCCTACCCGCATATACAACTCGTTCTGCGTGTGTACCAAACTGTCAAATGAACTTCAACGGACGTAGGCAAAACGGAGACATGATCGAACACGATTATTTCTAGATAAGTGAATTCCTCCTGGGGATTCTTCTCTTTATCCATCCCGTGACTCGAACTCGGGCCCGAACCATGGACCATTCAAGACTTATTTCTTAGTACAATTTTTATTGCTATGCTCCGTTAGTCAAAAGAGTCCCCCATAGAGGTGTCATGTCTTTCCCTGCAAGCAGAGGCCGCAAAATACCAAGGCAAACAGGCCTCTGCTAACAGGGAAGTTTTCTCTTTGTTAACAAGTTCAACTTCACTTCCGGTCTTTGGATGTATTGGCACGCGCAAGAGGAATGCTTACGCAGCGAAGAGAGCTCAATCAAGTAAAACATTTTAAAGCCAACTGTGGACTGGACTGCCGGACTATGAACTAAAGAAGAAACTGTCTACCTAATTAGATGAAATTTTCGCGACACGTTAATTTCGAGAATTTCGCGATACAAAAAGAGTCGCGAACAATTAGTCTCGCGAACATAACATGACGCGAAAATTAAGTTACTCACATTACGTCAAAAATCAAGAAAGAACGAGTTTATTACCACCGAAACGTTCATAAAAGGAGTATTAAAAGGGTGTAGTAACTGGAAGCGAAGTATTATCGCCCGTTGACCCTTATCAAGACATTTACGCGAATGCCTCGTGAGACTTCTATTTACGTTTCTAAAGCGCATTGTTACTAAGCAGCATCATTTTTTCTCGAGTCTGTAAGAGGGCATTTTCCATTGTGGTCAACTGACTCAAGAACAATAAAATTCACGTACAAGCATGAACTGCTTGTGGACATTGTGAGAATTACTGACTTTGTTGTTACTGTTGACATTTAGTCCTGCTGTTGCCTTTTTCTTAATTTTGACGTAATTTTTCCTTTGATAAAGACGTTTTAATTAACTCAAGGACATGTTAATATCAGTGCCAATGAAATGTAACTTGTGGTACTCAAAAAAGCGAAATTAAAGTGATTCAAAATATCAAATGTTCACAAAATCGCGAAATAAACATGTGGCGAAAATTGCATGTAAGTATATAAAAGTATGTGGCCAGGCGAAGACAAAAAAAAGAAAACGGAAAAAACAGGAAGGTAGAGATCGAGTAGGTTCTTACCCTGACTGCGAAGTGCAATTTTTTGAGACTTGCGTCTCCTTGCGTCTCAGTATTCCAGACTTGTTGTTTGGAAGTGTTGGTGGACTATTGCTATCCATCCATTTTACAGTGTTCATGAGTTTGGGGTCTCTTATCCCAAATATAAAGCAATTATCTGTTTAGGAATAGATCATGAAATTTATCTCATCTACTGTATCTTATCAACAAAGAATTAATTAAATTCACATCATCTTGTTTTAATTAACGGGATGAATTGTCAGTCAATTTATTTTTTCCCCCTTCTTTAATAGTTTGTTGTACGCTTTTGCAATACTGTAACTTTTACGGTCATGCAAATAAAGCTTGTTGTTGTTGTTTGTAACTCTCCTCAGTTTCCTTTTGATTGGGGGCCAAGATTAAGCAGGCTTTTGATACTAAAACGAAAGGTCTAACTCAGGCCCGCAAATTACTGCACTATGATGCTCGTGTGCTCAGTTTGATCTGTGCATTGTAATCGATGTGGTTTATCTACATTGTATAGATTGTAATGCAAAGGCGAATAAAATCATCTCCAATGTTTTACGTTCTCTAAACATAAGGAGTTCCACAAGAAGTCAGTGGCCAACAAAGGACCAACTTCACACAAGATCCAAGGTAATGCAAGGAATTTTTTAAAATTATTTTTATCGATTATAGTTTTTTCCAGAAATAGTAAATTTCATTCAAGACTAAGGGGGGATCTAGGCATATGTTGGGTCATGACTGCCGAACATTAGTACGTCCAAGTAATTTCAGAGTCCGATCCGTGATCCAGATTTTAAAAACAACTAAGTATAAAACGAACTCTCGTGTCAAGTGACATACGCCAAAAACTGGCTGGATAAAACGAAGTTTAAGCTGTGACTTATGTAACAAAAAACTGCAACATTAGCAACTCTGAGATCATACTGTATCTCCAAGAGACTTTCCATTCTATTTGCTTTTTATGGAGTATTTTAGCGTAATTTCAGGAGTAGGAACTCATCGAAAACCTCTACCGGCCGCCCAGGGTACCTCTTCCCTCCAAGCAAAGCAAATTATCCGAAATCGCCTAGAAATTTTTCAAATTGGGGGGCTAGTTAATCTAGCAAAGTGCGAGTAGCATCTTCCTTAAACGTCGTTTTTAACATGATGCCCCATACCCCTATCAAGACATAAATCAATGCTCTCTACACTCTAAAAGCAATTCGACACTTTTGGGATCACATCGCCGAGGGCTATTTTTATTTTTGGCCGATGAGTATTCTTGATCCTTGACTACTGTACAGGAATGTGCAGGGCGCTTTAAAAGTCACTCGCTTTTATAATAAACCTCGTGTAAAACCATTCCGTATTGACACAACCGGATCAGGTGAGTATAAGAAAAAAACTGAATTGCAACATATTCCAAACGTCATAACAACCCTTGCCTTATTTCAAGGGGATTTTAAACCTCAAAACAATCTTTTATGCGGAAATGATAATACTGTAAACCGCCTGCAAGTATGAGATATATTTGGAGGGAAAACTACTTTGTGATTGTTCCCAAGAATGTTCTTATCCCAACTACGTTTCTACAGCGATTTGAGCTTTCTGCACAAAAACAGACAAAACAGAATTTAGGTATTAGATCGCACATGCATATGCGGCTAAAAGGAGTGCTAAACAGACCTGGGAATAATCACATATCAAATGAAGGATTATTTCCACTGATACCTACGAAAGACCTAAACCGCAACTCCGTAAAACGCCGACCTACAATTACGGTGCGAGAAATAGGCTGCAAACTACTGTCAGTAATTCTTGAATCACAACGTACGTAAAAGAGAGGACCAAAACGAAAAAAAAAAAGCTAGACCCTCTCAAGAAGCCCAACATTATTGTGTTTTAAACTTATCTACACAGAGCGTTTAAGAGTGATTAAATTTTTCACCTCAGACCGAGAGGTTATTTTCTGATCAAAACCGTTGAAAACCATACCCTTCTCTTTCAGGTGAGGATCGAGGTGGGGAATCGGTGCGGAAGGAGAAGGAGGGTTCCGATATAATTCTTGAGAAAAAAAGGTAAAAGTTGAAATACCAGTGTAAAGATTACCGGAAACGTTTCCCGTCTTTTTTAGATTTGCTTTTGGTCAGGAACTGCTTTTCTGCTTATAAACGGGGTCCCTGACTCCTCAATCTACCTTTGGACCTGTTTTAAACAGTTTTAAAAGAGGGAACAGAAGAAAGACAAAACTAAATATCCCGGAACTAATAGTTAGCTTTGTGTTTTGAACCACTAAAAATACCTCATAATGTCGGTAAACCCTCTCACATCGTGTTTAAGGGTCCCCGGGGGTTAAAAAAATGATGGTGCAGGTCAAAGAAGCTCTCCGTTGACCAAACCGCAAAACGCACAAACTTTAAGTAACATTGAATAACTCTTAAAGCTTGACTTTTTGCGTGATCTTTTGGACGTCGCAACCTTCAGTATCAGCACGAAGATGTCCAGAACATTCAAAAATTCAAATTTAAACTAACGAAACGAGCAAATTTTACTCACTATTACTCTTACTAGAAACACATCGTAAGACGTAAGCCACAAAGGTTTTACCTGGAACTTCATCTACATGCTCAATTTCACTGTTACAAATTAATCAAAACTTGGCGTTCACGTGGTTATTGATGACTAAGAATCCAATGATTTTTGTCACTTTTATCAGCCTTTTTCTGTTCCCAGATTTATCTGTCAAACTTATTATAAATCAGCAAATTTCCCCCTTTCGAGAAATTCGTGCATGCTACCACTTATGTGTGCAGCAAAACGTGACAGGCGCCAAAAGAATTGATCCACTCACGTAAACCCTACGTAAACAACAGTAATCTCGATAAGAAATACTAGATCAGCTTTTCGCAGCGATAAGAAAACACACGGCAAATATTAAAGGAACCTTGCAACAACAGATCTTGAAAAAAAAAAAAACTGCCCAAGAGGTTATCTTTTTCCCTGTCACAAGATTATAGCATGCAATAGAAAATGAAACGAAAAAAAGGTTATCCTCAATTTGCCCAAGTCACAAGAGTATGGCATGCATGCATGCAAATAGATCGCTTAAAAAACTTTTCTTCTTTATTTTGCTTTTGTGTTTTGTCGCACATAATGGTTACCTTGGAGTTGCTATAATAAATTATTATTTCCCTTGTCAAGGCCATTTCCTTTTTTTTCACTTTCAGGATATCCTACCCGCAAAAGAGTATATAGATAAGAGAAAAAGAAAAGTTAAACGTGATTTACAAGAGAAAATGGCAGTGAAATAGTGAATCAGTCACGTCCCTAAATATCGTTACATAACTAATCTTTACTCTCCTCAAAGACTCTGTTTGTGCACGTAAAGTGTGTTT